GCTCCCAAGAGAGGTTTGCCTAGTGGCCTCTTTATGCTCTTTTTGGTGCCAGGCAAAGCCCTTTTTATCTTGCTGGTATTTTGTTAGTTTGGTTTTAATGGTGGCATATTTTAATATGGAGTGTGATTGTGCCTTTTATGTAAATGCAGGTTCTCTTAAGTTAATATGCAACTTGGATGCACTTTTATTACCATTCGATTAAGTGTTCCATATTGCATTTTTAATTTTTTGTATCTTTTTAATATGGTTTTATTATTTGCATGTGGCTAGTAGGGTGGGCTAAAATCAAATAAATAAATAAAATTTAAGTAGTTATGCATGTGCAAGAGGCTGTTTCTGCAAAATACTTTTTTCCTATGAAAAGTGCAGTATTGTTTATATTCTTACACCAGGAAATATTTCTGAGAAAGAGAAAGTTAAGAACATAGGAAATGCCATGCTGGCTCATGCCAAAGCCCCATCCAGTCCAGCAGTCCATTCACACGTTGGCAAACCAGCTCCCTACAGGATCCCACAAGCAGGATGAGTGCAAAACCTCCGCCTGTCCAAGCTCCTCAGCAACTGGCGCATGCAGGCATCCCGCCTCTGGTGAAGGAGGGAGCCCATAGTCAACCAGGCTAGCAGCCATGAATAGCTTTCTCCCTCATGAATTTTTCCAGTCCTTTTTCAGCCATCCAGATTGGTGGCCATCACGACTTCCAGTGGCAGCGATGTCCATTGCTTAACCATGTGCTGTGTGAAGTTCTACAAGTTGAAAAAGGCAAACATTCTTGGCAAAGATAAGGTTGGTGGAGGATTATAAATGGAAAACACTTCATGATTTCTGAATTAAGCAGAAATAACAGTGCCACCTTAAAGACATCAAATGTATTATGGCAGAACTTTTTGTGGACTCAACTGACTTAATCAGATGCAGGAAATCTTATCTTCAAACTGCAAGTGTATCTATGTAAGTGCATCAAAGGCAAACACAAAAGACTCCTGCATGTCTTTGGCCAGTAATGCCAAGAGACCAAGAACAGTTGGGAACCAGGGACACCAGGGTTCGTTTTATTCTTGAGTGCTAGCCCCAGTACAAGTTGTGTTATCAGAACTGCACCCGTAGCCTGGGTGTCCAAGGACACCAGGTCTCCACACTAGACCAGAGTTTCCTTTGCAACCTCACCTGCTGGTCTCTCCCTCTTCAATCTCTCCTCTCCTTGCAGCATGTCTGAGTTAGTATCTCGCTCTTTAGCATGTTCTTAATCGCCTAAAGCTGCTTCCACTCCAGAAAACCAAGTGATCTTATAAGATCTAGTCGCACCATATAGATACCAAAGAGAAGCATGTTGTATAAACATTCCTGTGCATGAAGTAGCCTCATGCCCCCAGGCCAAGCCACCTCAATTCTGGCACAGGTAGCATGCAGACAGAACTGTTCGGGCCTTGTGTGTGAACGCCTTCCACCTGCCTGCTGCCATTAAACTTTCCAACTATCCCTAACTCCTCCTAAATACAGTCTGGCATCACTAAGGTGAACAGCTTCTTCAAGTCCTACCATGCCCTCTGAAGCATTCTCTGAATTTCAGGAACAGCTTTTGACAAGAAAGCACTTCAAGGAGCACTGAACCCTGGTAAGGAAGCTCATCAGTCTCCATAACCTGAGCAATATTCAAGTTTCAGCATGCTTAAGAATGTTCCTAGTGCAAAAGGGAGCCTCCCCTGTAATTTATGTGTGGACCAGCCTAGAATATGGGACAGGAGGAAAGCCTTTTTAGGGGGTTCAGTATAATTGCTTGGACCAGGAAATGCGTGTTCAAGAAAGGATATTCCAAATGTTACATGTTATTCTTCTTTAAGTGTGAACATTTCCCAGTTAGGAAGTCAGTTTAACAGCTGAAACCAAACTTTAACATGTTATTAAATGCCAGGGGCATCCGTAGCAATTACAAGCATGCTGGACAATTGGCACAATGTAAACATTTTAATGCAGGAGTGCTATAAGCAACTCTTGGAGCTTTGTATCCATGTGCCGGAGGTTTTAATCCACACCTGAATAGGCTCAGTCATACTTGGTGAGTTATATAAAAACAGAACTCTGTGAAAGGACAAGTATGTGCAAGCATGAACTGTTTAATGAAGGACTACATAAAAACATAGCTGGGGAGGAGACAGAAGATGAAGAATTCTGTTGGCACGTAATTGCTTAATGCAGCGCACTCTTTGCTTAGAGTTAGGCTACATGTGATAACAGATGCACAAGCAAATCTCAATGGGAAGGGGGCTTTAACTGTCTCCACCCACTTCTGCAATGTCATTCCCTTAAAAAAAACCATGGGCACAAAAAAATGCAGATAGAATAAACTACACTATAAAATCCAATATACAAAATTTAAAACAACTTAAACATCTGATATGATTACAATACATACTGGACCTGTTAAGACAGCTGATAAAACCCATCATACATCAAATTTCAAAGAGAAAGGGCTCTTGGAGAATCTTACCATCCAAAGTTTCTAGAGCAAAGTAAGTTTGTCCATATCTTGCCATGTGTTGCTAGGGCAAAGCAGAGTTCATCTCCTTTTTCGTCAAGAGAGTTGAGCAAAGTGCTCAAGTCCATTCATATATGTCAATGTCTAGATGCTCCTTTAGATACCTAACCTGCTGGGTCAGTTTCTCCAATAGAGTCAAATTCCACATTTTCCCATACCAGTCACTCAAGTTAGGGACTCTATCACCTTTCCAACTTTGGGCAAAAACTTGTCTAGAAGCCAACAACAAAAAAGAAATCAACTCTTTCTGCAAGTATTCAATGTTGAGCGCATTGGTGAAGTTAAGTGGAACATAATCTGGATCTAGAGCAATTGATCAGTTTGTGATTTTATTAATTTCATTGTCAAGTGTTCTCTAGAAGTGTTGGGCTGATGGGTATGTCCACCAATGGTGAGAGAATGTACCTAGCGCTTCCTCCAACATAATGGGGGAGTTATTTTTAGTAATTCTTGCAAGTGTGAAATGCCATCTATAAATCACCTTAATTGAACTTTCCCTAGTATGTAATGAGATCGATTTCAGCAGATGGACAGACCAGCTTATTTGCCAATTTTTATCATTTATTTGATACCCTAGATCTTGCTCCCAGCCTATCTTTAGACCTCTTAGGTTATTATGAGCAACATTGAGGAGGCACTTACAGATTTTTGAGACAATTCCTTTGGAGCCCAGGGCATAACTAAGAAGGCAAGCTGCCTTGAAGCTTGCTGTACAACCAATGGCACCTTTTAAAAATCTATTTTTGGAACATATTTTAGATAAGCCATGTTTTAGAGATATTAGAAATTCTGCCTGTAATTCGGTCTCATGTTAAACACAAGCTCTTTGCAAAGAAATCTAGCAGCTTATGTAAACCACATTGTTCTCAATTAGCAAACTGAGCTGGTTTATCTGGGTGGAAAAACAGGGGATGGATCAACAAAAGTATAAGTGGTGAAATTTGGGGCATTAAATATTTGCACCATTTATTTCAAATATGTGAAGTAAATTTCAAAAAACAGGATTTGTAATGTAGCTCTATCATTCTATCAGCACTGGGCAAATGTTATAAAAATTTTCTCCAGGATGTTCTATTTCCCCCACAAGCTATATGGAAGTCTTCATGCAAGTGGAAGGAGTTGGCTCAATTGAAATACATCATGGCATTTAGTGCTATCAGTCCTCCTAGGCCACTAATAGCAGGGGGTTGATATGCAATGCTTTTGGTGACTCAGATGTATAATATGACCCTCCTATGGTGCCCTTAATATTATTATTATTATTATTATTATTATTATTATTATTATTATTATTACATTTCTATGCCGCCCCTTGCCGAAACCTCGGGGCGGCTTACAACAATATATTGATGTCTACCATTAAGATCCACCATACTGCTTTCTGCCTTATTAGGGAGAAGAGAGGCAAAAGGAATTGCAACACCCAGGGCGTTTGAAGAACCGGGAGCAATGCATTGTTGTCCAAAATAAGGATTTTTCAATACAAACTTATGACTCTTAGTTAGCTGTGGCTCTTGAAGAAATACAACATTTGGGGAACATTTCTAAATTTCTAATGTGACCCTTTCCCTCTTAACAACTGTATCCAGACCTACTGAGCACCACACAATGCCATTTACCAGTGAAACTGCCCCCAAGTTGCTATTCCACCCTGGCCAGACTAGAAAAATGAACAAGGAAACAGTAACAGTAAACTTGTCAGCAGATATTGTCCATATTCCCCTTTATCTCCAGCACCAGAGACTCCATTTAAGGAATCTTGTAACACATGATCATTTCCCTTTCACCTCAATCTCTAAGAGCAAAGTAGACACACACTCAATGGCCCCTTTTAAACTGGAAAAACATGTTCTGAAAGCACAATTCTGAAGGGTTTGAGGAGCAGCAAGGAAAAATCAGACTCACTTCCCAACCCAAATCACCGATACTCCCACACTCCTGTCAAATGCAACCATCTCTTGCTGGAATTCCAAATGCAGGGAAACACACGACACATTTTTAGTTTTAAAAAACTAGAAGAAATTTCAGCATATTATAAAAGGGTAGATTGACAGCAGGGCATTGCTATGTTGAAAGAGCTTGCACTTACTGGGGCAAGGGATGATGTCCTCTTTTTTCTCTTTGCTTTAAGAGATGGTTATGAATCCTTTCCTCATAACAATAGCATAGGATAAAATACTCAACCTCCAAAGAAAAATGCTAAAAATGCTGATAAAAATGTACCTGAGAAGGGTCAATGAGTTTGTCTTTGTTCACGAAAGATATAAATAGATGTCTGAGAGACTCACAAAGCGTATTTCTTGTGCCACGTCCAATTGCAACAATCATGTTTTTAAGCATGGAGGAAGTTCCCTATCCTCCACATCCAGATATTGCCATTTAAGCTGTGGTAATGGCATTTTCCAACAAAATAAGAAAATACAAAGTGCCAGGCTGGACCAGCCCAGAGCCTTTGTAGTGTAGTGCATAGGACAAGCCGGTCACCCATGGGCAAGGCTAAAGGAAGCCCTCAAACATGGGCCATGAGCACACTAGTCCTCTCCTGGTGCTGCCTTTCAGCAATGAAAGCAGCATCTAGTGGCTGAAGCCAGGGACTCATAGTAGCTGTTCTTAAAGCCATCTGCATTGGTGGCTTTCATAGTATTTTGCAATTTAGCTTTATTTGCTCTTTTGTCTCCCCTGAACCATTCAACTTCTCATAGTAATGAGAGGGGGGGCCCAGAATCCCACTTCTGGCACTATGAGGGAAGAAGTAAACCTTTTCACTATTGACTTCCCCCACTTCTGTTCCGCCCTCCCCTCACACGTCAACTTCCTCAACTAACTATTTTCATAACTGTGGGAACGATGTCTCTCCATTTATGCTGCTGACTGCATCATATCTAGAGACGGAGAGCAGAAGGGGCAGTGAGACTACTGGACCGAACATTTTAGTTTGTAGTCTCTGTTATTTGCTAGTAACTCAGATCATTGCTTCTCATAATAGTATATAAATTCTGTGATCAACTATATTGTTGTTGTTATGGCAAACATGGTGGCACTATCTCCCGAGTACAATAGCAATGAAACTGATTGAGATGGAATTGTTGTGAGCCATCCAGAGACACAGAGTGATGGATGGCCTAGAAATATCTCAAATAAAATCAAATAAATAAATAAATTGAACTGATTGAGATCTCAATCAGATGAAACTGATTGAAATATATGGCTGACATAACTGACCACATTGCTTTGCACTGATATTCTGCCTTACACAAAAGAAGACACATCCTAAAGCCTGGGGGGAGGTGGGGAGGAACACACAAGCCCAGAGGATAGCAAACCAAGATCCAACTTCATCACTTAGCAATTATGCACTATTTATCATGGAAGGGCTTTTTCTTCCTGACAGCTGCACCTTTTGCACACTTACAAACCCAGGGACAAGTTTCTCTCAGCAGAGCAACAGAATATAGGCTGTTGAGTGCCAGACAGAACCAGCCTGAATGCTGAAATGAATGTGGCAGGGTCACCTAAGTAATGTTTGCTCATCCTTGTTTACCAAGGGATCAAAAGGACCTGAGTTTCCCAAACAGGTTTCCCAAACAAGCCAAGAAAAGTCTCCTTGCTGGTTCATCACAAGTATTCCATGACCGGTCAATCTCATTGGTAATGTAAGCCATTTCACATTTTAGAATCCTGCTGTGTCTTCTGGACCAATAAAAATTATTATAAAATATATTACTAAATAAAAGCATTCAAAGTTTAATGTTAAAACCACCTCACTCCTTCAAATACTACATTTTCATCAGAAAAATACAGTTTCTAACTATTATTTAATGTTAATAACAGTCACAGAAAGCACATATTACAAAAGGGATCAATGCTTGTGTGCCATCATAGACACTACAAATTTATCTGACATGCTAGTAAGCACTGGAATCACTTTCATCAGAGTTGTGAAATGTTATTTTAAGTTGGGGTGTGTATATATAGATGTGGGTATAAAGGAAAATAGAGATCAGTGTGAGAGGAATACAAAAAACACAGACCATTGCATTTAAATGCCGGGTACCTGAAAAATAGGTAGAGAGGCCATTCACAATGCAGTATTGATCCTGGCACTGTTCTGCATAGTACAAAGTTTCATCATCTGATCAGATGGAACTTCTATGGCCTTTTTGAGGTTATTTGGTCTTTGCAAAGATTGTACATATGCACAATATAAAGCGACCTCTACGCATACCCATCAACCACTTTGGAGAGAGAGAAGGAGCATCAGCAGATGATTCTAGACCCATCAAAGTCATTCTTCAAGAGTTTAAACAATAGAGAACAACTTTTCAACTTCAGAAGACCAGAGAAATGCTTCTCACAGTCCAGCTAAGCAGTGCCATGTAGATAGCCCTAGCTGGGTGATGTTGTCCATGTAAAGCTAGGCTGCAGATGCAATCCCCCGTGTGAGGCAACATGAAGCTCAGATACCAATGACAGTGCTTCTGGCAGGGAAGGAAGAGTCAGTACACATGAAGAAGCTCAGAGTTTCAGTTTTGTCAAAGGGCAACCCATGCAGCTCTGAGATTTGCTAAGCACAGAACCTCTGTTGTAGTCTTTTTTCCCAGAGAGGATAAATGGTAAAAAGTATTGCTCAGCAGACCTTTATGATACATGCCCTTTCAAGTGGATTTGTCTGCTTGCCCCTTTGAAATGCCATGTGGTTTCTGAACCTGAAAATGATGATTAGCTAAAAATCATCTCCAGTATGGTAAGAGTCCATATAGGATGTCCAAAGTGTTCTTCAGGCAGCTCTATCCCAACTTGCTAAAATGACATAAGGGTCACGTTCCTAATGTCTGGTGAGCATCAAGAGGTGTTGGCACCAAAGGTACATCTGGGAAAACATGTTGTTCTGGTGGCATTTGGTACCTGACCCTTTTCCAGAACCTGCTATTTGCAGAGTAAGCACTTCTCTTTTTGAGGTCCCCTTTCCATGTGATGGCTCCCTGCTTCTGTTTGATATACCTGATGGATTCTGGCATGTTGCTGTAGTCTTTGATCTTATCGATCTCGATCAGGATCACTTTCATCCCATCGGGTATGAGGGCATGGTACACAGCTATGTGCTGTTCTTCTGAGCTTGGCAGTCCTGGGGCTAAGATAATTATCAGCCGTCTGCTTTGCTTTATGGTTTCATCGACAACACTGACTAGAGCTGAAAATCATGAGGTATAAAAGCAGCATGAAATGTTAGCTTCCATATGTAAATGGTTTAATTTTCAAGACATGCACACATTCTTAACAATGCAAGATTTTTTCTTAAGGGGTTGGGAAAAACCAAGCATCTAGATATACGATATTCGTGCTAAAAGAAACTGAAACATGTCTTTAACCTGGTACAGATTGAAACAGACTGTAATCTGATTCTCCTTTCCTAAATAGGAGTACTAGAGAATTAGACCTTTTTTTCTAAGTAGAGAATGCATTCAATGAAGTAGAGAATGCATTCAATGAAGAATGCATCCAGAGTAGAGAATGCATTCAATGAAAGATTGCACCCTAAAGTCCCCTTTTTGCAGACAAAAAGGAAACCAGAAGTATGAGCTTTTTTTTTCTGTTCCCTAATTTTTTTTCCTAAGAGTTTCCTAAAATTTCTCTAAAAGTTTTTTCTGTCCTAAACTTTTTATTTTTAAAAACCTCTAAGACTGTGTTACCATTTTTAATGCATGGTTTGTTTTGAAAATGTGAATTTCTGCTCAACATAGGGAACTTCAATGGGGGAAAGTGTGCGCTTTTAATGTGTATGGAACTGCACACTTCTCCCATTCAAATGAAAAGGAAAACAGGCCACAGAGGAGGATGGGCGCAAGGTAAGCTGTTGCAATCCAGTTGCCTCACTCTGATAGCAGCAGGAGCTGCATCAGCATTTTGTTATTTAACTATCTTCATTGCTAGTACACAAAGTCTCTGAGCATGCACCATCAATGATAGGTGATGCATGAGCCTCATGTATCAAGACTGAGCCCTGTCTACGGTTCATTACCCAACGCTTCGCTTATGAACCCTTCGGTCTGCCTGCTCTGAAGGAGAGGCTCTGCTGAAGTGAGTGCATTGACTCTTCTCCCTCTGCATCCCCAACTGGGCCTCATGCCCACTTTGGCACCTAACCACCAGGTCAAAGCCCATCAGGGCCCTCTGTTGAAGGAACTGGCCATTTCAGTATCCTTCCATCCTGCCAGCATCCTGTGGGTGGTACTTCCACACTTTGCCCAGACTCAGGTTACTCTGAGACCATCTCCATTTCCACATCCCATTCTGGAGGCAGAAACTCTTCAGCTTTTCCAGGGGAGAGTTGCTGTGGATGCTTCAGCGACCTTGTGCTAACCTTTTTTGTCGCAACCCCTGACTGGTCCCAAGATCTTGAGGCTCATCTTGAGGCGGGACCATTTGACAAACCAGCTCCCCCTTCAGCCTCAGAATCTGAATCCTCATGAGAACCAACACTGAGTGTTTCAAGCAAACACATCTGAGCTTTGACAGGACGTGCACACATGACATCAGCCAAGTAAAGTAGAGCCTGGAAAATCTTACTGAGGTCAAAGATCCCTGGCTTTCCCATCCCAACTTATGTCCAGAGGTCATGCATTTTATAAATCCTTTCATCCATGCAATAGTCCTAGTGGCAGTCGGGCTGCATTTTTTTCACAACTGTGGCATGGGGGAAATGGCCCCATTCCCCCCTCTAATTGCATTGAATGAGTTCATATCTCCAGTACAATGAACTCCACCCTAGAGTCACAAAGGAACTGGCAGAAGAACTCTGAGAACCACTGCCTATTCTCTTTGAGAAATCATGTAGGACAGGGAAAGGGCCAGATGCCTGCAGAAGGGCTAATTTTGTCCCTGTCTTCAAGAAAGGAGAGGAGGAGGAGAATTGGGAACTACAGACATCAATCCATGGGAAAATTCTGGAGAAAAAGAAATCATTCTGAAAACACCTTGAAAACAATGCAGTGATTTCTGGAAGCTCAAACAGATTTCTCAAGAAACTGCCAAGAATCTGATTGGCTAATTTCTCTAATGGACTGTGGGTATGCCTTGACTTGCTGTCTTAACTTCAGCAAAGCTTTTGACAAAGTGCCTCATGATTCCCTGATTAGCAAACTAGTCAAAGTGGGCTGGATGGAACAACTATCAGGTGGGGCCACAGGTGGCTACAGAATCGGACTCAAAGAGCGCTCATCAATGGCACCTTCTCAAGCTGGGGAGAGGTAACAAGTGGGGCACCACTGTCCTGAGCCCAGTGCTCTTTAACGTCTTCATTAATGACTTGGATGAGGAAGTGCAGGGAACTACTATCAGATTTTCAGATGACCCAAAACCGGGTGGGGTAGCTAATAGCCAGGAAGACAGAAACAAGATTCAAGTAAATCTTGATAGGTTGGAGAGCTGGGCTGAAAATAGCAGAATGAAATTCCATAGGGGCACATGCCATGTTCTGCACCTAAGAAAAAGAAGCCGAATGCATAGTTACAAAATGGGGAATACTTGGCTGCTCAATATTGCAAGCGAGAAGCTCTTGGAATCCTTGTAGAGCACAAACTGAATATGAATCAATGAAGTGATACGGCTGCAAAAAGGACAAATGCTATTTTAGGCTGCATTACTAGAAGTATCACTTCCAAGTCATGCAAAGTCCTAGTTCCCCTTCACTCGGCACTGCTGAGGCCTCATCTGGAGTACTGTGTCCAGTTGTGGACACCACAGCCCATATACTTAGCTTCCAATCTGGGCTCACTCACCAGGTTGGAGTAGAAGTATCTGCAACAACTGAATGAGAAGAGAGGGAGATCAGGGTATACTCTCTTCACCTGCATGCCCCTCCCCAAACCTTTCATAGGTCTATATGTCAGATACATAGTAAGCATTGCTTGCTGGCATGCTTATTATTACCATTAGACCAACCACAGCCATTGACTATCCAAAATATTTAAACCTATGGATAGTTTAAGGCAAAAATTGGATGACAAAGCATAGAGACCCAAATGCAGTATATTTTATGTCATTCAAATCTTCCTTGTTTAAGTTCTGGAAGTTGAGCTTCATGGAAAGGTTTGCACAACCTGCTGAGGGGTTGATTTGCTTTGGACAGGGACACAGGGGTATAGTTCTATCTGGCATTGAAAGGTTTTGATTTTAATTCTGCTCTCTGCTTTTTACATTTTTATTTATGGAATAAATAAAGTGTTCAATTGCTTATAGAGTGTTCAATAGCTTTAGGTGGTTTACCAATTAACCTGCTTTAATTCCTAAATTTTCTTCTGCCTATTCAAACTGTCTTATTACGCAATTGTATGGACAATTAGTTCCCACCACTGTAATAACACTGACAATGTGATGTTTTTTCTCCTGTTTTAATTTGTTAATCATCACAGTTTCTCACTACCATATTGTTTCATATGTTTTAATATGTGTGCTGCCTTGGGGGCAAAAGGTGACCAATAAATACTTTTGTCAAGGAACGAAGGAAGGAAGGAAGGGAGGGAGGGAGGGAGTCAGTAAGGGATGGAGAAAGGTTGGTTGGTTTACAAATAGCTTCACACCAATCTTATCAATAAAACTAAGACCAAACAATATTTTAAAAATAATAATTGGGGGAAAAGTTGCATTTTACCTTTTCCTGGAATATCATCCCTGCCAAGTATAAACAGATTATACCCACACTGTTTCTCCAAAACCTCAGGAAGCACTTTCAGGGCAAAGCAGTCTTGGGTGTCAGTCTTTGGATACAATACGTACGCATCATAGATCTTCCCATCTGAAACTGAACACCACAAACTTGGTAATTCACCAAGTTGAACAAATTCACAAAGTTGAACAAATTCACAAAGTTGAACAAATTCACAAAGTTGTTTTATTTCAGCTACCTATTGCCAGCAGTTAGAATAACATGTGCATCACATATGCAACAATGTTTTATGGGGTGACCCTAATTGGCCAAATGTTCTTATGTTACAGGAGCTGCAGGATACAATGCCCCCACACAGTTCCTGCAATGTTTGAGCTCAGGGGAAAGGTTTATGTCTGATTATACCCAGGTTCAACACTGTCAACTCCTAGAAGTGGAAGAGAGAAATGATCATATTACAATCAAGAGAAAGATTGTAAAGATTTTTAAAGTAGAATGAATAAAGTGAGTTTTAGTATCAATTTAAACAAGGAAAATACCAGAGGGAGTTCAGCAAGAGTCGTATTACCCAAAAAGCAATCTCAGAAGCAAAACCTGTTATCTTTCTTTCTGCATTTGTAAGTTTCACCTTTGTCAACAACATTAAAGTGAATCTTTATGTTACATACTCTTTCACTGTTCATAATGTAATCACAGAAAATGCTTCTAATGTGCTTACAACACCATGCCACATTTTATTAATCTTGGTAATCTTCTTCAATAAAGCCCTGAATATATTTAATTTACTTAATAATTATTAAATTATTTTATTTTAATAAAATATTTAATACCAAGGTATCTAGAACGCAACTGGTACAGGTTCAAGGTTAAACAGGATCAAACTAACCAATGTTAGATTCCCCATTTCATATGATAACACAGCATAAGATATCATTTGCTTTTCTGTGAAAACTGTAAACTTATGGGAAATATACACATGTAAGAAAACAGTTTAACAACCAAATCACACTGTTTTGGATCAATATTTTTGAAGTAGTTGGTGCAGAAATGTTGCAAGTTGTAAAGGCTTCTGTAGTAAATATTTGTAGAAAGAAGTAACATTTCCTGTAACATTATAATTGGCCCCAAATCTCAACAGTTTGCTACTTTCCTGTAAAAATGATGCCATTATCTGCAAAAATTTATGCTTCCACAGATCTTTCACTAGATATGTATTTGTTGAGGCATGCTTTATCATATTTTCTGGCACTGGATATAAATACAGCAGTGTTTGCTTTTCACAGATTCTTAAAGTAAACCATGCAATATTACCTTTTTTGTGAAGGAAAGGATGGCATGACTTTCGATACCAAAGCACAAGTTCGATCTTGAATAAGATGCAGATGAATATAGGAACAAGTATTAGCAACACCAATGCAGCAAGTCCTGCGAGATTTTTTCCTGCATCCGAAAATAAAAAAGGACATTGGAAATGAAGTCTTCAAGACACATCAGAGAAACAAATGTGTTGTGAATGTGTTGTGTCTCCCTGGGGAAATCTGCTTGACCTGCCCAGCAAAAGAAAAGAGAAATAAAAGGCATGGATACAGCAGAATGGATGGCACCAGATTCTGCACGCAAACTAAAAAGAAACTCTGCCATGGACCCACAAGGAAATACTTCCATAGAAGTTCTAAGAGTTATTTTTAATTTGCTTTCCACCCATTTTAAAATTTGACTTTACTTGGCATGTAGATGCAAGGTAGCAATGTTCCTTGTGCTTTTTGCAACATTATCCCCAGTGCAAGAATTTCCTTTACATACAGCATGGGAGATTCTTCTTCTGCTCTGGAAATGCATTTGAAATGTACCCAAGTTTTAAGGGTACATTTTCTTCCTTTCAGGAAAGCAGACACAGAAAGATTTTGCTATGATTTCTCAAGGCAGCATACACTGCCATTAGTTCAGGAGAGCATCTTTTTGTTAACATGCTTGCTCATTTTTTAATGAAGTATTGTGAATGAAAACCAAACATATTCTAATGAAAACCAAACATATTCTAAACATTTACTACCATATATAGGTAGTAAAAAAAAAAAAAAAAAAGTATGGCAACTCTTGTTGTTGCAAATTATCCATATATTAGAAAGGACTCACAGTAATCAATTGGGTTTACTTCCAAGGGAAATATATAGAGGATATGGATCTCTATGCCCATTCCACATTAGTGTATACAATAATATTTCAGACTTTAAGCATCCTGCAGTGTCTTAATTCCTTTGCATATCTGTCTTTCCATATTTATTTATCTTTTCCACAGCTATACATTTGCACTACTAAAAATTAGAAGACATACTTGGGCGTCGTATTCTGATGTATGCAGCAACTTCACCAGCCTGGCAAACAAACAAGCGGCCATAATCTTCATTTTTCAACTTTGTAATATTCAAAGACACTATAAAAATCTGTGCTCCATCAACAGAAAACTCTTGTCTGTATCAAAAAGTAGCAAAGTACTCAATGAAAATATGCACAAAATCATGGATATTGTTTAGGGCAAAGGAATATTGGGTACAAACATCTCATCCTACACTTAAACAAGGTACTGGATATACTTGGCTATATCATCTGGTCTTCAGTCTTCAGATGTCCTTTATGACCACCTTCAAAGAAGTAGTTCCCATGTGAAATTTGTAGTGGAGCAGGACTATCCCACTGAGTGGGCATGATATAGAAAGACTGAATTTTCTCAAGCAGTGATGCCTTAGCCTCTCCAACTTTTATACACTGAAAGTGTGTAATGAACCATCCTCAAACTCAACTGTCTGTACAATCCATTAGAGCTCAAGTTATGTTATTGCACAATCTGAAATCTGGAGTGAGTAGATGAAAGTTTACACATAAGATTGAGTTTCTCTCCTTAAGGCATGCTTTGCCATATACTCTGAAAGCACAACTTTCCTTAAGATATCTCTTGTGCAGACAATTTTATCTATTTCAGGGTTTTGAATATTAATTGGTGAGTAGAAAGAAAACAAAATGTCTTACTATCATATATGGAATTATTTGCAAATCACCCATACAATATTCCCAAAGACCTCTACACTGTATGAGAAGATCAGTAAATGGTAGGCAAGGTTTCAGGAAGCTGATTGGCTGTTACTGATTTCCCCTGATAGAACCTTAGATTTACCCACAATAAACTGAAAGCCTATAGGAGATATAGAATATATGAAAAAGCAAGAAAATGAAATACTGTTCTGTAGAAAACAATACACCAAGGTAGCTGGTACCTTCATTTTCCTGTAGAAACTACCAAAACTGAGCTGAATTCTCCTTCTCTAGATTTGTCTTAACAACCATGGTTTTAGTATTCATTGGATTGGGGGGGGGGGGGGGGAGGAAATCAAATCCTGCTTGGTTAACTTACATGCTAAAATATGTATACTTACTGGATTCCTTCTTCAATTCTACCTTTAAACAAAACATCAACTAGAGTTTTATTGACTCTCCAGGATATAGAAATGAATGTGTCTTTATAACTTGATACATTGCACCATGTAAATACGTTGGATCCTAAAAAATTGGTACCAGAAAATAGCCATCAGAAGTATTTATTAAACTATAATTGTACAATATAATGAAAACATATTTTAACAAAAGACTTGTAAACTAACTTGAGCATGCATTTTCTCCATTATGTAACAGGCAGTTGGATCCTATGAGTACTTACTCAGGAATGAGTCCCAGCGTGTTAAATGAGGTTTATTCCCTAGTCAGTATATTTTGAATTGCAGTGCTAGACTTGCTTCTGATGTACTTAGATGTCAGAGTGGACAGAACTAGCAGATCTATGTAGATTTACAATAAAACAATGAGGATTTCTGAATCCCAGTAGTTTAATAATGTGTAAAAATCAAAGTTAAAAAAGATCTTATGCAAAAAGTTAGCCTTTTACTAACCCCCTTTCTACTAGTTTCATCTGTGAAAATTAAGGATGTGCTCATTGCCTTTGACTAGGCTTACTTCTGGATGAAAGGCTCTTAGAATGAGCAAATAGAAGACAGTCCACAGCTATTCCAGGTTGTCTTAAGAGATTCTCCACAGTATGAAAAAAAATGGAAAAAAAGCAGTGGGAAGCATGGGATATTTATGAATGGATGGCATCCAAGGGTTGCTTCCAGATAACCTACTGTTAGTGTTACCCATGAAAATATGTTGTTGTTGCTGTTAGTTGAGAAGTCATGTCTGACCCATCGTGACCCCATGGACAACATTCCTCCAGGCCTTCCTGTCCTCCACCATCCCCCGGAGTCCACGCAAGCTCACACCAACGGCTTCAGTGACTCCATCCAGCCACCTCATCCTCTGCCGTCCCCTTCTTCTTTTGCCATCTACTGTTCCCAGCATTAGGCTTTTCTCCAGGGAGTCCTTCCTTCTCATTAGGTGGCCAAAGCATTTGAGTTTCATCTTCAGGATATGGCCTTCTAAAGAGCAGTCAGGGTTGATCTCCTTGATTCATGGATCTTACATTCCAGGTTCCTATGGAGTATAGATCTTTACAGCATCGGACTCTCCTTTCACCACCAGATACATCTGCAACTGAGTGTCCTTTTGGCTTTGACCCAGTCACCTCATTCTTTCTGGCACTACTAGTACTAGCCCTCTGCTCTTCCCCAGTAGCACATTGGACACCTTCCGACCTGAGCGGCTCATCTTCCGGCATCATATCTTTTTGCCTTTTGGTCTGTCCATGGAGTTTTCATGGCAAAGATACTGGAGTGGGTTGCCATTTCCTTCTCCAGTGGATCACATTTTGTCAGAGCTCTCTGCTATGACCTGTCCGTCTTGGGTGACCCTGCATGGCAGAGCTCATAGCTTCATTGAGCTACACAAGCCCCTTCGCCACGACAAGGCAGGGATCTATGAAAATATACTTTCCATCATTTTCACTTTTATTGCAACCAAAAAAGAGAGGAAAAATACTGGGCCAACACAGGAGAACTGCAGATGGAAGACAACATTCTAGATTATCGTGATCATCAGAGGCCTTGTAATGTGTACACCTCCTCAGTTCTAGGGTTGGATGCTTGTCAGCACTAGCCCCTTGTGGGGTATCCTGCTTTAGATAGGCAGTTAATGTTTTGTTCCATTAAGTTTCAGTTTCTTATAAAGTTTGGTTGCAAAAGTGAAAAGTGTGCAACCGAAAGGATCAGCAGCAATTCCAAACTTAAAAGGGGGCTTCTTCCACTTTAATATCCATGCTGGCTGCCTTCTATTGTCAACCCTTAGAAAAGAGGAACAGAAAAGGAATGTCTTCTGTTCTCAGTGCGGATAGGTGAGTGATGAGCAAAACATGTACAATCCCCTTACTAGAACTAACATACTACTTGCAAATTAAGATAGAGAATTGCCAAAGGCCGCACAAAAGAGCTATCAAAAATGATAAAGTAACCAAAGACTTACCAAGTTCTGCTTCAATTGTATTGTTTCTGGGGTATAGAATCTCAGTTCGCTTTCTCTCTTTTTTCCCTAACAGTAAAAGAAAGTGGGAATGTGTTTAAAGAAGATCATACATACTGTATATGTGTATACAAAGAAAAGCAATTGGGTCAACAAACTGCCACAGTACTTTAGATCAGTGGTTAGCAATATAAATGATAGCATTACTGTTAGGGATTAACAGTGGCCAAAGTACTGTTGTCTTCTCAGATGGTGAGGTGTCTAAGACCAACCTCCAAGTTCAAGATAGGGACAAGATCTGAACTGGGGACTTCCTGGTTTTCATTACTATCAGTTAGCCTGGATTCAACACATTTATGTAAGTCTAATTTCCACAGCTAGTTGCATTGATTTTGAATGTGAGAGTAAGCAATGCTAGCAGATTTATCCATCCAGATCCAAGTCTTAGAGTGCTTTGCTTTTCAAGTCTGACTCTCTATCCCTGTGTAACCATAGCCCTATCCTATTCCAGCTTTCTGACCCTGAACAGGACAAGAGCACTCCAGCTCCACTTCTCCCACTCATGGCATGCATTGCCCTTTACTTATGAAGGGCAGCAACTGGATCAAGAGGCTCTCTGGGCGATTCAGCTTCCTGGGTCACATGGGGAGGCTCCACAAATGCAGGAGCCCGGCTGCTTCAGGCTGCCACCTTCCATGAGTAGGAGGTGATGAACAAGATGAGGGAGAAGAGTTGGGTGAGGTTGGAGCAGTCTTTTTCCTTGCTGGTTCTCACTGGTTCACACTTATTTGAAGCACCTGAATAAGGCTGATATTCATGCTTAATTAGGTCTGCAACCTCTTTCTTTTGATGGACTCTTGCCTTTAGCAGCTATGAGACAGGCATTGTGATATTCTCCATCCCAGGAAAAGCTGTACCTAGTGAATTTGACTAGGACAGATGGATGAGAATTTTGCTTTGGTACATTTTTACTTTTAAAAAGTATGAAAATTAATAAATTTATTCAAGTTCCAGATGGAAAGAATGTAAGATTTTTAAAAAAATCAAACACAGAAGAATGTAAAATTGACAAATTCATCCATTCCTAGTGCCACTGAACTCACTGGGACTTCTGAATAGACATATGCAAAATTGCACTGTTAGCCTTCCCCTTCCACTACCTTTGAACAATTTCTCATAAGAGCGCAAAAAGACAGTTATGCAACCAGCGTTACCTCCAATACTATACTGACACAAAGCCATTAGCTTTGTGAAAATCTGTTTCCAGCATCTGTTTACAAAGTAGTCTCAAAATAAGTAGCATTCACAATTGCAAAGGCGTAAAAATAATTTTCATTTCAGTTCACATAATTCCTAAAATGATACAGTAAGATAGATCCAACAGCTAAGACCAGCTTTTCCCTTTTGAGTTAGATTAGGTATAATATGGCCACTTGCTTTGACTATGAAAGTTATACAAACAATAGGAATATTTTGTTCATATATGTAATTCAATATTCATATTAGCCATAATCTTCCTGCTGGGGAAATACTGCTAGTATGCACACCAGATATTATCAGCTGTGAGTTCCCATTTCACCATTCTGGTCCTGACAATGGGACAAGAACTATGGCCCAGTAATTCCTACAGATGAAGATCCTCCTGGACCTCAGGTCAGATAGTCCTGCCTGGGCAAATGTAAGAAAGGCTGAAGAGATCTACCTTAACCCCAGCTGGATTCTGTGGGATAAGCAGGTAGACGTCTGGTCTACTAAGGGAGGAAGTAAAAAAGAAGTCAAAGAATGGACATTTGGTCCACTTGCAGAAGAAGCTCTCCACCGCCACTTGTGTTTTCCCTGACACATCAGCAGAGGTGACCCCTGGCATTTTATTAGCTAAGCAAGCAGTGCTCTGCCAACTTTACCAGGTGTTCAAGGCTGGCCAAGTTATTTTGGTATAGTAGCCTTATTTTTGCTAAGTACTCTCGGTAGGCCATGTTATTTGACCCAAAAAAATCCACTACCATCTGTCCCTAGAAATAAAATTCAGTAAGAATGCATGGGGTTTGTTTATGACATCCACAATCAGCTACCTCCTTCTGCTAAACTGATAGTTCTCCATAGCAGAAGTAATATCCAGATTTATATCCCCTTTTCACAAATGTATTGCTATTGCAGGCATAAAATTAAATGGTATAAAACCAACAGTAAATATAACCATCAAAACAATGCAATACAAATAAATTACCATAAAAACTATGCACTGTATTATGTGCTACAAACCACAGCTGGCTGGGACACACTTCAGGGAAAGCCTGGCAGCTTTCTGGTAGCCAGTATGTTTATTTTAGCAAGGGTGCAGCTTGCTGTGAAAAGAAGGGGCCACACCACCCTATTCTGCACCAGATGTGGCTTCTGGCCCAAGCCAGCACATTGCAATAATCCAATCCTGAGGTTATTCATACCTGCACCACTGTAACTAAACTATCACAGTCCAGGAATGGCTGGAGTTGGTACATGAAGCTAAGACAGTAAGGCTTAGAAGTCCCCTGAACCTCAAGTGACAAAGATAAATCCAGAAATATTCCCAAAGTATGCACTTGTTATTTCAAGGGAAGCACAATCCACCCAAAACAAGCAAGTGACCCAGTTACTCAGGCCTGTGACCTACTGCCCCGCCCATGTTCCTTGTGTCTTGCCCGGACTCCAGCTCAGTGTTTTGGCCCACACAGATCTCAGCACTGGGGCTAAGGCAGCGCTCCACAGCATGCCAGGGGTTCAAGCTGCATTCCCTAACACCACTCTTTCAGAATGGTCCTGTAGGTAGAAATAGAACCACTTAAGTACAGTGGCCCCAGCATCAAGTCCACAAAACCAATCTGAAAGGCACAATGGCTCAGTGGTATCAAAAGACTAAGAGGAGCAAGCCTGGCTTTTCCCTCTCTTAATGAAGGTCATCCAGCTGGAAGACCAAGGATAATTCAGTTCCAAATCAGGCTTGGCACCAGTTAATGTGTCTAGTTATTCAGTCTCACCCAAGAATGCCTGCAATTTCACCCATGACCCTATCAATCTCCTTACTGCAAAAGTGGCATGTTCTCAGCTGGGCTGCAGGAGTCATACATCCCAGGGTGGCTTTTCAGGGACCGCATTAGCACCTCCTTCAAGCAACAGCCACCAATCCTTCCGTGTGGCATTAACCAAAACTGGACCCAGAGAGACACGCCATGAGGGACAGATCAGGAGGGCCCATGCTTGGCTGCCTGACTGCAGGGACACTGTCCATGCCCTCAGGAGACATTAACTGAATCTGATTGTGGACGACTTTATCAATCACACCAGTTGCCTTAGCAAGCTGGCCTTCACTTTCCTCAGGAGGTAATCTTGACTACCCTGTGCTGGTGCCTTATAAAAGAACAATAGCCAGAATTGCGTTTTAAGGACTTGAAGAAAACATTTAGTCTTATTCTGCCAGGAGCATCAGGAGTGCCTTAACCCTACAGGGCAGGGCATTCAAATGGTGAATCCCTTACCACAGGAAAAAAATACATACATACCAGATCACAGAATGATGGAATAGTAGAGTTGGAAAGGGCCATGAAGGCCATTGGGTCCAACCCCCTGCTGGACCAATTTACACCATCCCACTCAGATATCCAGCTGCACGTCAGTGTTGCTACCTCAGGTAGTCTGTCTTGGGAAAACATGGTGCTTGCAGACCTTCTGTTCACTGAGGCATCTCCATGCTTTGCTCACTCACTTTTGAGCAAAGCATCTACATTATGTCATCACTAAACCACTATGCTCCAGAGTTCTTCCCTATCCATCTTGATTTGGCTGCAGAAAACCTGGCTTTTTTAAAACTCAAACAGAACAATAGTACACTTTCTGCAAATATAGATAGCTTACCACTACTGTTATGTATTTTTCATGTAATGTGTTTCTTTATGAATGCAGCAACACAGGAATGTATTTTTAAGGTATGGTTGGAGGCACTCAGGCTCAGATCCAAAAGACTCCAGAGAAAAAAAACTGGTACTTGATTTGCCTCACATTCATTTCCAAGTGACTGTGTTTTTTCAGTTCAAAAGAGGAGTTTAAATCACATATGCAGAAAAGGAAACTGAAGATAAATCACTTACAAAGTTTCTTCAAGCTTGCACAATTTCAGCTGCTGGCCATACTGACTTCCTGCCAGGAATAACATTTTGCTTCTCATTCTTAATATACCTCACCCCAAGTGCCTAATTTGCTTATGATGTCTATTCCAGTGACTGATCGATCACTGCACCCATGCCGCAACCCATTCATTCCTGCCCATTTCCATCATTGCTGTATTTGCCCTCCGGCTTCCCATAACTACTGTTTTCAGGAGAAATTCCCATGCTGTTTGCTATGTCTTTGCACTTGCTGACCACAGTGCGGTCAAGTCTCCTGTCCCTGAACTCTCACTAGTTTCTCTCCTGTAACTTCCCAGATCTCAGTGGCATCATGAGAATTTCTACCAACCACTCAGTTATTGCTGTTCCATAACCAAGCCTTTCTAGTCCATTTTTAAAGCTGCCATTATTCTCTCTCTCTCTCTCTCTCTCTCTCTCTCTCTCTCTCTCTCTCTCTCTCTCTCTCTCTGTGTGTGTGTGTGTGTGTGTGTGTGTGTGTGTGTGTGTAAGACAGGCATGTATACTTTTCTGGGAGTATTGCACTTCTACTTCTGTCCAGAGCACCTCTATCCGTACATTGGTGAGATGTCAATAGATACAAACCTATATCACCACAGTTTCAAAATATGCCATTTTTTAGTAGATTTTAAAACAAAACAATCCTCCCCCCCCCCCCGGCTCTCTCTCACACACTCATTCAGTGCCATTTAAGAAGTCATGTTCAATTTAACCCAAGAATTTTGATTAAACAGTTTAACTTTTTTTAAAGATGTTGATAATTGTACAACAGTGTTTCCATTAATTTAATACATGGTAAAAAGGGGTTAAAGAAATGCCATTGCCCAACTGAAATAATTTCATTGTCTGCATAAAAGTATGTCACTGTCACTGGTGAGAGTGTGACACAGTGGAATGTATGCACATAAAATGCACTATCTATCCCCCACAAAATGCGCCACCTACAATAATTTGTGCTCTGCACTAACAAATGAAGTGGGAAGCATTGCCCAGAGAAAATAGGTACAAAACAAGCTTTGTCACTGAATTAGAAAACAAAAACACTTACCTTTAACAGTCACCAAAATGCTCTTTGAAAAGTTGTATTTATTCCCCAGATAAGTGTATTGTCCTTTACACTGGTATTTTCCTTTATCCTCTTCTCTCACGTTACGTATTATAAGCACTTCTTTCACGAAGAGGAATCGTTCTCCTTGTACTGGCATGCATCCCTTCATGCAACCCATTAGAGCATTTTTAAAATTAAGCACAAAACTTACAGATTACACTCCATAAAGCTGTAACATGCTAGCTGTAGACATCTGCTTACCCTAGACAGTTCCCAGTAACCCTTCAACAAGAACAGTCTACACGATCTATCAGTTTTGCACAGTGTCCAAAGTGACTATGATGCTACACATAGCATAAAGAGATAATCCTATATAGCATTGAAAATATATGCCCAGAGCTTTTATTTATGAAACAATCTGGCTGGAGATTTTCTGAAAAGTATTACTGCTGGAACTCAGTTCATACAATGTAGCATCGATCATGCGTGCCAAGCCATCATGATGCCTTTGGGCCACTTCCTGCACGGCAGCTTGTTAAAGACAAGAATCCACTCTGACAACACATGGCTTGTGGTTGGAACTGATGGCTTGTGGTTGGAACTGATGCACCCACAAAGGGTACATCGTCTGAATCCTGGCAAGCCAATTGTGGATGCAGGGGTGCAGTGAGCAAGCCACTTGGTAACAGTGGCAACCCTCCCCGCCCCCACTGGATGCTCTTGCCAATCTCATCTGGACACCCCAATAGCAGCTGCCCCACTGATTCCAAAACAGCAAGATGGGGAAGGTGTCATCAGCTCAAGTTTTCCTCTCCCCCCTGCCTTTCCCCTTGTTCCCAATCCCCACACCCAGGAAGGGCTTTTCTCAGTATTAAAACTCCCCGTGTGCCCTAATGGCACACTGGAAGGACTGCCACTGGCTCACCGTCTCAACGATAAAGAAATGTCTTAGCAATTTTTAAAATTTATTCTAGTCCAATTTGTGTGGATGTGGATCCAAAATGGGAATCCTTACCCACTCAATGTCCCGGAAGGTATCTGTGCAGCAGCAGTGGCAAGCAGGATTGTGTCTTACTTTATGCTCTGGACAGCCACCGAAAGGCAAGCCACCAAGAAAAGAGAAGCCATGGGTCAGTAGATCATCCCGTTTGTAGAGAGAGTTTCTAATTTTTTTGGCTGCGCCTGATTCTTTCAGCATCCAGCATCTTTCCCACCTTTTCCCAAAACTGAGCAGAAAATCTGCTCATACACAGGGTAGGTCAACTTTAGACAACTCACCTATTATCTATTTCAAGCAAAGAGGCATCTACATGATTTATTAGTCTGTGCAGGTAAAAGGTTAAGGTTTCCCCATGACATAAAAGTCCAGTCATGCCTGACTCTAGGGGGCGGTGCTCATCTCTGTTTCCTAGCCGAGGGGGCCAGAGCTTGTCTGCAGACAGTCTCCGTGGTCATGTGGCCAGCATGACTAAACACCAAAGTGCACGGAACGCTGTTACCTGCCCACCAAAGTGGCACCTTTTTATCTACTTTCATTTGCATGCTTTCGAACTGCAAGGTTGGCAGGAGCTGGAACAAAGCACAGGAGCTCACCCCGTCTGCGGATTCGAACTGTCGACCTTTCAATCAACCACCCCAGCAGCTCAGCAATTTAAACCACTGTACCACCCACAGCCCCTTGTGCAGGTACATGCATGTATATGGTCTACACAAGACTGCCTTGCATACTTTATTTTGTACCCAGCTCTGAAAAACTTGGATATCATATTTGCATTCCATCCCTCATGCAAGTTACTCTGAGCGATATACTTGAAATGCAACTCCCAGACAAAAAAAGTGGTTAGCAGATAATTAACATTTGCAAAAAGGTACATTAAAAATGTGTCCATCAGAAGCATGTGCACAAAGCATTTTTAGCAGTGGGAAATGAGCTTCACATTCTAAAGAAGCATGCAACTCAATTGCACATTTGGAAAAATACAGAAGGATAAAAGATAAAAGCAAAGGTTGCAATTCAGTATGGACAGAAGGCAGAAAGAATTCTGGGACTGTTTTCAGAGAATTTCAGCAAGCTCAGGTTTTGCTGATTCACAAATCCCTAAGCGGCAGTAAGCCACAGTTGCAGATCTTCAATAACTACAGTTATTGGACCATAGCCATGCCTCATGCTCAAAGCAAGAAAGCAGTTCCCCATTGCATCAAAACTGGGCCTTAAAGAGTTGTGGAAGAGATCACAGCTCAGTGGCTTATGCAAGGCCCCAAATTTAAGCCCTGGTACCTCCCATTAAGAGGACTGGGTAGCAGATGATGAAAAAGACAGCTGTGTGAGAACCATCAGACCTAGATGCAGTAACTGTCCTACTTGGTATAAGTTTGCTTCTTACTTTATTAAGTATTGAAGAGAGGAAAACCTTTAAACTTCAGAGTTCTGTTCAGTCTGGAAAAGAAATCCTTAAACCAGGAAAACATGATCCATTCCAGCAAGGGTTCCTTACAATTATGGAAGGGTGCACCTGGCATTCCAATGCTTTCCAAAAATCACATACATTTGTGTGCCAGAGGTTGCTACCCCCTTGCAAATAAACATGTTTTCGTATTATAAGAGATACACAACACTGGAAACCCAATAGTCCCTAACCTAGTAACAAAATATATAGCATTAGCCACAAAAGAAAGAGTCCTTGTAAAATAGGTACCTTATACCAATGAATGGAAAAATTAGCCATCCCTTCTCTGAAATTATCCATATGATAACACACAATCTTTGAAGTTGATGAAAACGGGATCTCTTGCTCATCGTAGAATTTCTCATTAAAACAAAGGCCAGCACTTTTATTGAAAACTGATATTTGGACAATGCTTTTGTAACAGCTTGTGGAATTCCTGTCACTAAACATAAAAAGTTCCACTGTTAATTTCTTCCAATTTTCCCCCCACATTAAGTATATCTTTAATATAAGCTTCCACCACCTCAATGGATTTTTGAGAACTTTTTAAGAAAACAAAGCTGTCCTTTTCTCAGTTGGTTTTTCCTCTAATTCTTAAGAAGTTATTAGCAATAGGATGAGGAGCTACAATAAGAGATCAACTGGAATGAAGAAGCAGTGACAAATATGCTTCAGATAAATACATGGCCAAATAAATGTATGGCCCATGAGAGTCTACAAATCATTACCTAGAAGTAAGATCCAACTAAATTAACAGTACTTATGTCTGACTGGTATTCTTATTTATTCCTTATTTTTAAATGTATAGACTGCTGAATAATCCAACAAGGCTCCCTAAGCAGTGTACAACAATACAATATAAGACCAAAAATTGCTCCTAGTAATAATTTTTAAAGTACTTTACTTCTGAGAAAGTGCACTTGGATCAAAATGCTGAAGCAGTAAAACTGGGGGGTGGGGGGAATTGTGTCATTCACATTTTCAAAACAAAGCTCCCTCCCCCACCCAAAGGCAGTACAAATTTAGAAAAATGCAAGTCCTGACCGTGCAAAACATTCATAGGCTCCAGAATCTTGATATACGACAGGAAAAAACCAAAGCAAATTATCACGTTGATGAATTCTTGAAGATGGTTCTTCCAATATAGGTGTTTTGTTTCCCTTTATATACCAGGTGAACCTATAGTTTATACGTTCCTGATAAGATAGTCTATAGAAAGGGCAATCAAGCCCAACCGGCTGCCCATCTTCAACCTCTTTCAGGTACACATTGTTTTCCTGAACAATACATTTCTCTGTAGGAAGGAAAAAATGACATAGATGTGACAAAAGAAAAGTAGTTATATGTTTATAGAAGAAATGTGGCTGTCGGAGAAAACAAAGTCAGCTACTTCACATATCCATCCATGGGTCTTACCGCATGCAGACATGTTGGGAATCGCCTTGCACCTCAGTGGCATGTCATATACACACCAATATGTGAATTTCACATTTTACTGGTAGCCATGACCACAGGCAAATTGGGGAGGAGTCAATACAGCAAAAATGTCAACAATTTGTAAGCTTTTTCTGCCAGTATCTAAGCTTTGCTGTTGTTCGGTCACAAAGTCATGCCCGACTCTTCATGACCCCATGGACAACATTCCTCCAGGTTTTCTTGTCTTCCACCATCCCCCCGGAATACACCCAAGCCCACACCCACCACCCCAGAGACCCCATCCAGCCACCTCATCCTCTGCTGTCCCCTTCTCCTTTTGCTTTCAATCATTCCCAGCATCAGGGTCTTTTCCAATGAGTCCTTCCTTCTCATTAGGTGGCCAAAATATTTGAGCTTCAGCTTCAGTACCTGACTTTCTAAAGAGCAGTCAGGGTTGATTTCCTTTAGGATTGATTGATTTGATCTCTTTGCAGTCTCTCAGGAGTCTCCTCCAGCACCACAATTCCAAACCATCAGTTCTTTGGCATTCAGCCTTCCTTATGGTCCCTCTCTCTCAGCCATACATTGCAACTAGGAAAACCATAGTTTTGACTATACAAACTTTTGTTGGCAATTAGACTTGGGAAGAAATGACCCAATAGTTAGTGCTTGGAGAACAGGGTATGGGGCAGAGAAGGAATGCTTTGGGCAACCCTGATAGGCCAAACTGGGATACCAAGAAGGGCAGATTTGGCCTGAGGTTCAGTGGCTTTGATCCTGTGACACATTAACTTTAAATATTTCATGGAAGGAAAATTTCCCAACAGATTCTTCCATCAATTGATCCATGTACTTCACCACACACTAGCCAGGAAGTTTTCCTCCCAAAACCTTCTAGAAAGGCTTTTTGGATATTGCAGACATCTACAGTTCTCAGAGAAAGAACTATGATATGAAAATTACCTTCTGTAAAATTCCTGAAGTCAAGTAGACTAGCTAAGACAAATCAAACACTAATTACTCTCCACACCCAAATTTCAATGAGAGCTTAAACATTGCATGAATAACAAAATTCCACTATTCCCTTTTTGGTGTGTGTGCTCCCTTCCCTCAGAGTTCTAGCTTTTAAGCACCCTCATAGTACCCAAATTTTCTCAGCAACCATCAAGGCCAGAAAATCAAAGAATTACAATAAATTATGGTTAATGCATGTTTTTATTAAGATACTATCAGATTTATTTATATGGTTTTATTTATATAGACCAATACCTCCACATCCTGCTTTGTCCCATAATTAGTCTCAACACATAATAAGAACAGCTAGCACAGACTGAGCCCTATTAGGGATATACCAGGAAAATCAGTCATTGATCAAATAATATCAACTTTCCCAGAAATTTGTGCCTAGTGACTGGGAAGGCATTCCAAGAAGCAGGTGTTCCCTTTGACCTTGACTTTTAAAACAACAAGCTGGATTACCACTTCATAGGCACTAGGGAAAAAATGCAACTTGGTGCACATGACCTCTGAGACAACAATTACTCTCTTCCCACACATGCTGCACAAGTTGGAAACACAGCAAAAGAACAGATGAAAGGTGAGAGAGATGGTAGTGCATATCAAGACAAAAGTTAACAATAAAAGTGCAAACCTGGTGCTTACAAGCCATTAAAAATAGTATTTCTCAGCCACGCCTCTCAAATTTTGCCTGCTTTGATCTTAAACCTTAAAGTAATAAAATATCATGCCAACTGTTGCATATGGAGAGTTGATAAGCACATAATATCTCAGGGATCGGCATTTAAATTGATAACATATTGCCTGTTCAACTATGACACAAATGAAATGCACATAAGGTAACCTAATTCTCAGTCTCCCAATATGCATTCCACATTATTTCTTGGGAAGTCTTTTTTTTAAGTATGTTTACCCATACCCAGCACGTACGGAGCATAATTCCATATCAGAAGTATCAGAAACATTGAAAAGTGAGAGTTCATAATTAAAGCATTTGAGCAGCTAATTTAAAAAGCTCCTCCCCATTGCTATTGCTTAGACTTTCACTTCTTTAAATATTTGGAAGTATGCCACATGTTATCTTAGCACCCACCTGATCTGAACATATAGAAGAATGATAGTATAACAGGATAGAAAAGTCCTGAAACAGCCATGTTTTGCTATGAAAAAGAGAGAGAAAACAAGGCTCAGTAATGCTCACCCATTTCAATGTTATGCTTAACTTAAATATAACTTTTAAAAATTATTCCATGCTTGTAAATATCAAAGAGACATTTCTTCTTTGTTGATTTTGTTGAAAAGGGTACAGTAAAATCTTAGAATGACTTGAAGAACATACAATAGAAAATACATCAGTGGAGATTTCCCCTCCACTGGTGGAGTGGTTCAGAGTATGGGACTGAGCACAGGCACTCCGCCATGGAGCTCACTGGCTAACTTTGGGCCAGTCAGACTCTCAGACCAACCTACCTCACAGGGTTGTTGTTGTGGGGATAAGAATGAGAGGAGGAGAATAATTGTGTAAGCTACCTTGAATTCCTTGGAAGGAAAAAAAGCAAGATATAGCTGTAATAAATAAACAAACATATACATAAGCTTTATACACACCCCTCCCAAGGGACTTTTGGAAGGAGAACATCTGGGTTGAAAAGTTTAAACCTCTCCTACCTTCACATCTGGATTGCAACTATGCATACATACTTCAAAGTTTTAAAAAGCTCTCTTGAAATTTAGACAATCACAGATACAAATTAAGTTAATCTAGCAATTCAACAAATAATAAACAATAATGCAGCATATGTATCTATATCTAAAACTATTGTAACTATATAATATCAATGATAAACAACTCTCTGAAATGTTTGTTTCTAAAAGTCTGAAATATTATTTCTAGTCCTGTGTTCCTAGCTTCTAAACAACAAAAATTGACAGTCCTTTAACAGTACAAACCTCTGCATATCTACTCTTAAATATGTCCTGCTGAGATAAATGCAATTTACTGTCTAGGCAGTGAACATAAGACTGCAGCCTAAAATACTGTATCGTTAGCCAAGATAATAATACAAGATTTATCTGTACCAGCTTTTAAGATAAAGACCACAACTACATTCAATGGCAGAGTAAAAAGTCACATTAACAATGCAATCCTATATAGTGAGCTACATTAAATTCATTGCACCTACTTAAAAATAAGTGTGCATAGGATTGCATGCTAAGTAGCTCATATCTAAACACATAGTTCACTGCACTTAAGTTCTCTGATTCAGATTTCTCATTCACAAGTCAGCATTAAGATTTTAAAGTAAAAAATAAATCCCACAAACCTGAGATTCAACAGAAGGAATCACTATCCCAATTCAAACACTAGCTTTTCATGATGAAACACCAAAGTCTTCTTTCTGGAGAATTTCAACCCCAAGTTGTCTTATCCACTGTAATCCTGTAACTGCAATCCTTCATTGGAGGGGAAAAAAGAGCATGCAATTTATATTGAAATCGCTCAGTATAACAAGGTTGAAAATTTCACCATACAACTAAAATGGAACTGTAAAAAAATCAATGAATATATTTAGCGCCCCAGGAGCAATTAGATCTACATATAGCTGCAATATATTGCTTTTTAAAGCTCTCCTAAAGAGGAAAGGACAGCTCCTAGCACAGTACATTTTGATTTTGCATACCTCTATAAAACCTGCATTTGGCATTGTGGAACAATGTGTGCTCATTTTAGGACCTGTGGAAGGCGCTGCATTGCTCAGGACACCTGAACCTCTCAGAGCATCGTTCTCCTACCAAAGGAAATTACCAAAATTCAGCCTATGAAACAAATGGAAAATTACAGGCAGGTAGCTGTGTGGCAAGAGCTTTTTTTCTTTGGAGTCAAGCAGGTTCTACTGGTTTATAGGCAAGGCAGTCCTCTCACTTCAAAACTCACAGAAAAGCTCTGGGGAATAAGAAGCACGTGCTCTGTGGGGAATTGGAGCATTCCCAGCATTGGTGGGGGTGTGGCAGGGAGAGGCCTTGGACACCTGCAGAGAGACCTGCTAGGTGTGTTGGCAGTAGGGACAGGGCTGCATACAGGTAATGCTACCTGCATGGCACAGCTGGATCAAAACTTGCCATTAAAAGTTGAAAGGCTCAAAAAACCCACAGATGCGGGGGCGGGGGGGAATTGAATAGATTCAGCATGGAGTGATTAATGAATTAGTCACCTAGCCTGCAGCAGCTGTATTAAGAAAAGAACATGACAGTGGAGCACTCTGCAACACTGGGACAGACTCTCGTAAGAGAGATGATGGGACTGCACTTGCGCCCTTCTTCACCTTTTCAACCCCTTGGAAAAGCCTGCGAGGGAGGGCATGTCGCTCCCAAAGATCTGCCCACCCTCAGAAGAGCCTGGGGGTGGGGGGGGAGAGTAGGGCAGAGGGGCAGGAAGCCTCTTTGCCCAAGCAGAGTTTTGCATGGCTGCAAGCATGTATTTTTCACCCAGGAAGAAATGCCACCATCCTCACAGACTTGCTGCTAAGTCTAGCAGGGGGTGTCCAAACGAGACTGGAATCTCGTCTTCTCTTTGCCCCATACTTGGCATCGTGGAGCCATCTCCTGCCACTCCTTACTCTTTCATGGCTTTCTTGTCTTTTGTCCTGGTGTGGACTATCCATTAAGGGAAAAGAGGAGGAGGGAATCACGGCAGAGTCATAGAATCATAGAATAGCAGAGTTGGAAGGGGCCAAGAGGACTATTGGGTCCAGCGCCCTATTCAGTACAGGACACCAAGTTAAACCATCTCCTTTAGATGGCTGCCCAGTTGCATCTTGAGTGGGACAGCTCCCGACTTCCCTAAGGCCATTGGTTCCACTGCCATGCTGCTCAGACAGTGAGGAAATTCTTCCCAGTGGCTAGTCTAAATCTGGTTTCTTTTAACTTAAGTCTGTTATTCCATGTCCTGCATTCTGGGATGCTCAAGAAGAGATCCTGTCCTTCCTTTTTGTGACAGTGTGACTGTATTAGGAGAGAGGGGCACGCTAAAGACGCCTTGTTCCCTTCCTTCCATGAGAAAAGACACAAGAAAGCCAGTCCGCTCACCGGGCCTCTATTGACGTTTACAACTTCCATGGCTGTGCTGCCTGAAGCACTCAAGCCCTCGCCTGCTGCACCCCTCTTCTCTCCTGTCTCTATGGCAAGGAGTGGTGTCACCCCTGCAGCAACGGGGAGCTGTGTACCTTCGCCACAGGGTTTCCCCTCACTCCTTGCATCTGCTTGCCTGCAAGTGGTGGCCAAGCCAGCCCGTCACAATCTCCGGGCACATCTCTTCCTTCGTCCCATGTCCCTCTCCCCTCCTCCCCCTTCGCTTCCTGTTTCCTCTTTATATCTTCCTCTCACACACCACTCGACCCAACCCAGCTGTTCCTTCACCAGCCAACAATGCTGCACAGCTGCGCACTCGCCTGCCTATCCCGGCAGTCACAGTCCCATGCGTTGTTCTGCCCAAACAGACTCCCAGCCATGCCCTGTCGTCTTCAGCCCTGCTCCGTTGAATGTCCCAGGAAAATGGGTGAGCCCCTCTACCTCCTCACAGACAGCCTTTCGAGTACTGGTAGATTGCTATCACAGCTCCCCTCAGACTTCTCTACTTAAGGCTAAACATGCCCAGTTCTTTCAATCTCCCCTCCTAGGACTTAGCTTCCAGTCTCTCATTTATCCTTGCTGCCCTCCTCTGAACCCTTCCCAGCTTGCCTGCATCTTTCTTCAACTGTGGTGGCCAGAACTGGACACAGTACTCCAGATGAGGCCTCAGCAGTGCCGAGTGAAGGGGAACTAGGACTTCACATGACTTGGAAGTGATGTTTCTATTAAAGCAGGCTAAGATGACAGTTCCCTTTTTGCAGCCGCATCACTTTGTTGATTCATATTCAGCTTGTGCTCTACAAGGATTCCAAGACCTCAAGCTAAAATGTCCCATCCCTTCTCCCCATGATGGTGGAAACCTCTGTTCTGACTTGCAGTGGCCAGATAATCCCTTTCACAAACCCATGTGAAAATGGCAGAAGATCTACCTTCTGCATACTCCTGGACTCTTCTACAGCTGTCAATTATTTGGAACAGTTCTCCAGTTTAGGCAGGGGAGAACAAGGAGCGTGCTGGAAGTTGTGTGGGAGGAAGTCAAAGAAATTAATACATTAAGAATGAGAAAGACGTAGTCACGTTGCTGTCCAATTAGTGTGCTGTGCAACTCAGAACCTGCACCAAAATCCTAATGCATTTTTATGTTTAGGAACAGTGCCAAGTGTGCTTTGTGGAGCTGGTTTAGACATGACAGGCTTCTCCACACATCCAAGCACGGTGCTGGGGAGGAAAATGTTAAGCATTAGCATTATTGTTTCTTGGGTGAGGAACTGGTGGGTGATCTCCCTCACCCCATCCAGAGGACACTTGGGGGCTCTGCTGAAGCTTGCCCAGGATTACAGCAAGATATTCTCCATGCCTCACTTTGTGTACTGCTGCAGGGAGGGAAATGGTTTGGGGAGTTGTACAAGTGCAAGAGAAGTTTAGCAAGCATGTGGATCCATCCTTCTTTGCAAGGAAACCTCCACAGTACACTGTTTTCTATGGGTAAGCATAATTGCCCACCTTCATTCCTTGTGAAGGTGTACATGTACTGGTTTAATACCTGGTTTGAGCCACCAACAGCTATGCTAGCAGGTTGTACAGAGAGACATTAGAGTGGGGTGACACCATTCCACCAACCCTTCTAAAAAAAATTTCTTCTTCTCTTCCCATGCCATTTCTGCATATGTCTTTTTTGAAGATTGCAAACCTGTGGGGCAGAAGTTCTCTGAGTTAAATAATTAAGCATAAGCCCTTCTGAGAGCCTTTTTGGCTGGTGAGATACTTTAATTAATCCAATCCCTGTCTTTCATGTAACAGGATGCAGATGCCAAAAAGGGAAGGATAACTTAATTATCCAGATCTTAGCATATAAGGCATAAGTTTTATCACATGCAAATGAATGGAAAGTATGTTCTTCCACTAATACTCCTCCATGGTTTAGTCTGGAATCAATTTTTTTGGTACCTTTCTCTGGTACACTAGCAAATATTTTTAAAGTATATTGAAAGTAATGGCTCCAGCTGCAATCTTAGTGACTCAAGAGATGGCACATAAAGTCCCATCAGCTGTACTTTGATTATTATTCCCATGTCAAACAACGTTACAGAGACATCTTGATGTGAAATTAAAGAGGCAGTTCCTTTTGCTGAATAATTTGGTTGCTGTTATTAGTAAATAGGACTGAATGAAGAATTTTTACCATTGTCAGTATTTTACTTAGATATCATTTACCATCTAGTATAGAGTAGCAGTATCTTTACTTCTTAATGTCTGACAAGGATGTACATCCTGATAGATAGTGAGTTGGAGGAACTAACTGGTTCTTCAGAAAAAGGCCAGACTGCTATGGTGGTCTATACATGTTGCCTGGAATGTAGGAAAGTGCATGTTCAAATTTTTTATGAGATAAATAAAATAGAGAATTAGAATGTTGCTAGTAAATAAATATAGCTATCATTCAGTCATCAGTCTTTCATTTGTTTCAAGTCTAGTTCCCAGTTTTAGATGGCGAAGTTTGTGTGAAAATCACATCTTCCCTTCTGGTCTTTCTTGGTTGCTCTAAGCAGATTTAGGTTTATTTCACAATTGTCTAGATGCCAATTACACATAATAAAAATAATTCTGCTAATGTCATTCCATTATTCTGCCCTTAAACATTATGCAGACATTGTTAAAGGGACTTGATAAACAGCTGGTGTGTGATCAAGTGTCCATGCTGTGCTTGATCGTCTCTCCATGCCAGGGGTCTACACCAGGTGTGCAGAACCTTTTCTCTCCTGAGCACTGCATGTGGTGCTGTTGTGGGCATATCTGCACACACGCTCATGCATCTACCAGTGATCCCGACATAAATTGTTCTGTGAGAGAAACACCACCACGGTGCAATGTTCCCAGTGTGAGAGAACGATCTATTTTTTTCTAGGAATACGGCCAACACACCAGATTGAACTGTTTAATTATTGCTGTAACGTACAAAGTCAGCAAGGTCTAGTGCAGTGGTGGCGAACCTATTGCACGTGTGCTGCAGCGGGCACGCAGAGCCCTCTCTGTCGGCACACGAGCCAAGTCGCCCCAGCAGCCGAGCATCGGATAACAGCGCACAGAGAGGCCACGCAAATGCTCGGAAAGGAGTAGTGGTGCCAGGCGATGACATCATGAGCCGCGACTTATTAGCCACAACTTGTCTGAACTTTCACATGGCTGGTCAGTACACTGCCAAGGATATATATTTTTTGCTTGGACTGGCTGTGAGTTCTTTTCCCTAAAGTAAAACCTCAGTTTTCAGGTTTTATTGCAGTGTTGGCACTTTACAATGAATAAGTGGGTTTTGGGTTGCAGACTGGGCACTCGGTCTCTAAAAGGTTCACCATCACTGGGTTAGGGTTAGAAAAATGAGGTGTCCTGATATGATTTTGATAGTTGGAATGTGTTTAGAATGGACAGAAATGATGAGCTGTGTAAAAAAAAGCTACTCAAGGAAGGCTTTTACAAAATCGCCCTATTTTCAATGTAACCTTAGCCCTATATTAAAGTTATTGCTGTGCACCAGGGTAGGGTTAGGGTTAGAAAAACGTGGTGCCCTGATAAGATTTTGATGGTTGAAATGTGTTTAGAATGGGCAGAAATGATGGGCCGTGCAGAAAAAGCTACTCAAGGAAGGCCATTTCAAAATTGCCCTCTTTTCAATGGAACTTTCCCCCTATATTAGGGTTAGGGAAGTGCACCAGGGTAAGGTCAGGGCAGTGCTGCAGAACCTATGGTACGCTTGCCACAGCAGGCACACAGAGCCCTCTCTGTCGGCACGTAAGCCAAGTTGCTCCAGCATCGGCCCAGCAGCTGAGCATCGGATAGCAGCACACATAGGGGCCATGCGCACACTCGGAAAGCAGTAATGGTGCCGGGCGATGACGTCACAAGGCACAACTCATTAGCCACGATTCAGCTGAACTTTCGCATGGCCAGTCAGTGCACTGCCAAGGATATATATATCTTTGCTTGGACTGGCTGCGAGTTGTTTTTTCTAAACTAAAACCTGTTTTCAGGTTTGATTGCAGTGTTGGCACTGTGCAATGAATAAGTGGGGTTTGGGTTGTAGTTTGGGCACTCGGTCTCTACAAGGTTCACCATCACTGCTCTAGTGATTAAGAGTGCTGGGCTGGGGCCTATACATGCAATTATAAATAAAATAAATATTTTGTTTTTAAGACCATCCAGAGAGTATAGTAAGTAGAGCACAGCATCCATTATATACAATAAAACCCCAATTAAAATCACAAGCTAAACCTTTAAATACTGGGAAAATAAAAAGGGTTTGGAATGGCACCAAAAAGATAAAGTGACAGCACCAGGCAAACCTCTCTGGGGAGCATATTCCATAAGTGGGGTGCCACCACAGAGGAGGCCATTCTCCAGGTAGCCACCCTCCTAATCTCTTCTAAGGAGGGCTCCTGAAGAAGGATCTCCAACTCAAATCTGTTGGGCAGGCATGTAGGGAAGATGATGCTACTGCAGATATCCAGGTCCTAAGTCATTTAGGGCTTTATAGGTCATCACCAGCACTAGACTTCAATTGGTAGCCAGTATAGGTGGTTAAGGACCACTATTATATGAGCATATCTGCTGGTCCCTGTTAACAACCTGGCTACTCTTCTGAACCAACTGAAGTATCTAGACTGTCTGCAAGGACAGCCACATATAGAGTGCATTACAATAGTCCAATCAAGAAGTTACCAGAGCATGTGCCATGCTAGGCACTGCTCATCTAGGTAAGGACACAGTTGATGGATCAGCTGAAGCTGAAGGAACACGCTTCTCACCACTGCCACCACCTGAGACTCCAGGAACAGTTCTGGGTTGAGGAGCACTCCCAAACTGTGCTGCCTGGCCTTGAAGGGGAGTGCAATCTTGCTCAAAACAGGGCTAAAATCACTTACCTGGAAGGCTGAACTGCTTAACCAACAGGACCTCCATCTTGTCTGGATTAAGCCTCAGTGTATTGGCCCTCATCCAGCCCATCACACTGGCCAGACACCGGTTAAAGACAGCCACTGCCTCACCTGGATTAGATATAAAAGAGAAGTAGAGCTGGGTGACATCAGCATACTGATGATTCCGCAGCCCAAACCCTCGGATGACCTCTCCCAGCAGTTTCATGTAGATGTTAAAGAGCATGAGGGATCAAATGGAACCCTACAGTACTCTATGGCAAAGCTGCAATGGCACAGAGCCACAATCTCCCAGCACCACCTTCTGCATCCGACTCCCATCTAGCCAGCCTATCCAGCAGGATATCATGGTTAATGGCATTGAAAGCCACTGAGAGGTCCAGAAGAACTAACATGGACACACTCCCCCTGTCCCTCTCCCTGCATAGATCATCATACAGGGCGAACAAGGCAGTTTCAGTCCCATAACCAGGCCTGAAACCAGTTTCCTCAGTTTCCTCCAAGAGAGCCTGGAGTTGCCTGGCCACCACCCATTTGAGCACCTTGCCCAAGAATGGGATGTTAGCCACTGGTCTATAGTTGGTGGTCAACTCTGGGTCAAGATTCACCCGCTTCAGGATGGGCCTGATCACCACCTCCTTCAAGGGGGCAGGGACCCTCTCCTCCCTCAGAGAGGCACTAACAATCTCCTGGACTGATACACATCCCTTCCTTGGCTTTGATGAGTAGCCATGAAGGGCAAGGGATGAGTAAACAGATGGTAGGTTGGCTTTATCCTTTGCAGGTGCTTGCAGAAAACAGCTGAGGAGCAATTATGCAATGCAGCTGGAGGTACTGGGGACCAACTGCTGCTCTTTGCTGCAGCAACAACACAAGCCATCTTCATGCTCTGGCTCTCTCCATCTCCTTGCCTTGTTCCTGCCTGGTTCTTGCCTCCAACTTTCTTTCCAACCCATCTAAACTTCCTTCCTTTCCAACCACTGGACTGTCTCAGATAGTCAGTCCATCAGTCCACCCATCCATCCCACTATATGCTATTCTTGCTTCTCTATTTTAGTTGATAACGATTTTAGCAGCTGAAGCAGACACCTCCATGACTTCTTAAGTGGGGCTGCTCAGTACTGCTGATGCAAGGTAGACAATCCCTTGTTGAGATTGTGAGATTGTCTTCTTCCTGGATGCCAGTTATTGCTCATGTAAAGTCTTGACGGACAAGTGCAGAAGTTCTTACATTTTTCAACTATATTCCTGCAGAGTAGGGATTAACAGACAACAAGCAAAAGTCAACTTAAGGGAGGCCTTACAGTTGCAAAGTGACATCCTTCAAGAGAAGCCCCCACCACTGAATCATCAGAATATCTTACTGCTCCATCAACATCTGAATAGTGATTAGCCTCAATTGGATGCTTACTGAGATACATGGACTGCTTATATCAACATACATATTTGACATGGAAATACAGACCTTTTAAAAATGAATAAATAAACACATTTTATTTAATAGAAAATAATAAAATACAAAACAAACATACTAAGTAATTTTCTAAAAATCAGTCTATTTTCAATGTCGTGTCATATCACTTACAAATTATTTGGCTTATAGAAATTGCACAGTATGTCTCCAAAATAAAAGATGACACATTGGTAGTCTCGGAGCAGAAAGATATGAATTTCTTATTCTGGATCTATTTTAAAATTTCTATTACACTGACTACATTCCAGTTATCCAGTGAGGAAATACAGTTTAGTAACCACTTGGTTATTTTTGTAAAGTGTTGGATCTAGATTTAGCTATACCATACATACATCTATGTTATCTGAGTAGATCCACTGAAAACAATAATCCTAAAGTTCTTATGATCAGTCATAACTAGTTTATATCACATTTCTTTCAATGGGTCTACTCTAAATTTGACTAAACCTGAATTTCAATCTATGATCTCATTTCTGGTTTTAAAAGAACCATTGAGAGAATGGCTCTAACATATCATTTCAATTCTTATATTTGGCAACTCTTCAGGATACAATTCCCATAAACAATGGTTCAAATAAATGTATTTGAACCATGTCTACATTCCAGAATGAAGGCAGATTCACAGATCTCATAGAAATACATTCCTTTAAAAAGTTACAGGGACTGCTACATAACTGTACAATTATATCACCTATGGGAATAATCATATAGTTATCAAAATAAGCAAAGTAATGCATTATTCTCTAGGTTTTCAAGCCCCACATATTTGGAAAATTTTAAGGAATCAAATAATCCTAACATATAAAACATGTGAAAGAACTAGATACAGCTAAAGTGCTCATGTGTCAGCAGATGTTTAACAGATTTGGAATATTATACAAAGGTGCATTTTTGAAGTATTAAAAATGATTACTTCATTTCCAAGTCAGTCATGCAATATTTGTCAGTATTATCACGTAATAAAAAATGAATCAAACCAGAAAGTCAACATTCCTTGCTTAACATTCGGTACCTAGAAAAATAGTCTTTCGATGCTTATTTGGTTTTCTCCTTTGGAGATACTTCAGTAATATACCTAGTATATGGAATCATATCTATTTCCATCTAACCCCATTTTCAGTGGGCAGGGAAGCACAAGAGGAAAGCTGAGCAAAGCTCCAGCTGCTTTGCAGAAATGACTTCTCACTTACATTCCCAGGATGCAGTGTGGGGAAGATGGTTACTGGTTTGCTTATTAATTTATTACATTGTTCCACTGCCTAATAACTGGAGCCCTCCTGTTAAAAGAACTGTAGAGATTTTTTTACCCTCATTTGTTTATAGCTCATATTGGCTACACAGGCTTGGGAAGGGGGCTAGTTTGGAAAAGTGTATATAAGCAGGAGCACTGAAGGAATTTGGGGCAGAATGAAAGCATTCGAGCTGAGGCATCCCTTTGAATGAAAGGCAAACTCTCACACCTGCTGTTTTGAGGTCCTGTGACTAAAGGGCAGGGGGAAATAACCTGAGGCACAGTATGCCTGTTACCCACACAAACGTGTTGGGGCAACATGGACGGACCCTACTTGGCACTTAAATGCGAAGGCTCTGAAAGGTTATGGCTAGTGACCGCTTCTTTCACACCACTGAGAAACACAATTTCTTTCATATGCACTTCTTTTGCCTGCAAAATAGGAGCATTTTAAAGGTCTTTTCACACTGTCTCCCTGCTCAAGCATTCACAGGGTTCTGCCACTTCTCCAAGGAGCTTACAGATCCAAAAACAAAACTTCGGCTCCATGCTGAGCACATTTGTTTTGGACAAGGAACTTCCCAAGTGTCCAAATTATTCCGCTGGAGGTGCCAACACTGATTGCTTCCTGGCTGGTACAGAAACCAGCTTGGCAACTGGAATGAGTACAAACAAACAGTTCTCCTGTGGTTCTGCAATCATCCTTCCGATATCGGAGAAGAGTTAAAAGTTAATGGCAACAGAGGAAAGCATGAGGAAGGTGGACATTTGCTTGCAGGCATCTGGTACCTCACATTCTTCCAAAATGTTGTCGTTGCCATTTGAGATTTTTCTGAAAGGTCTCCTTTCCATGTGAGTATCCCATGTTTTTGCTGAAGGTATTTTATGGACTCTGGCATATCACTATAGTCTTTTATTTTATCCAGTTCGATCAGTATAACTTTAATCCCATCCCGAATAAGAGCACTGTACACTGCAATTTCAGTTTCAAAGGTTGGTTTCTGCATGCTGCAGTAGGGTGGATCTGGTACCAACACAAGAATCACTCTTCTACTTTGCCTGATGGCTTCATCAACGACAGTGACCACAGCTGTGGATGCAAGGAAGAGTCAGTGCATGCAAAGCTAAAATAGCAACTATTTAGACTGCTTAGTTTACGTAATTGGCCTCCGTGCCTTTGCTGTAGCACAAACTCACAGGGTAATGCATACACAAGAAGAGGAAGAGCATTTTTCCAAGAAAGCCCCCATATCAACAGCATACAAGAGAAAGAAAGAGCAAGGTGGGGAGTGTGAGCTAGAATGCAGAAGGTGAGGACAAGGAGGTAGTGGGGAATTTTACAACAGGGACAATGTTGCCAGATGACTGAAGACTAAGGCAAGAGTGCCCAAGGCCGTGCATGGGAGGAATCAGTCCGAAAGGTGGACTTCAAAGGTCAGGCAAGAGAGAACAATCAGCAAAAACATTGTGAATGTTGAAATCTCCATGGAGTGAGGTGGAATGTCACCAGAGAAGGGCGAAAACGAGCTGTGTGTGTGTGTTTGGTGGGTACGGAAGGAGGACAGATAGGATCACAGATGTGTATTGAGGACTTTGCTCTATTTTTAAATGGACATATGAAAACCTTCTATGGAGTGAGGCCACTGGCCCATCCAGTTCAGCATTGTTTTCACTATGTCGCAGCAGTTCAAAAAGAGGCAATTCAAAATCCTACCAAATGTAAAGAACTAAAGTTAGGCTTGTCCAAGTGCAAGCAAAGGGCACTAAAGAAAGGGAATTCATTGGCACACGTGGCATGCACAGGTAATCTCTGATCCAGGCAGTGGCCAGATGCAGGCCTGCCTCCTTCCAGCTAGGCAGCAGAACCCTGTACCTTCAACCATGCCTTGTACTTTTAATTGGAGATGCCAGGGACTGAACCTTGTGGCTTCTACACGCAATTCACGTCAATTCAAATGGTTCATCTCAAATGGATGATGTCTTTAAACACATACTTTTATTGTCAGAAGACTGTTCTTAAAAATGCTTACCTTGTCCTGGTAAATCATCCCTTCCAAAGATAAAGAGCTTATAGCCACACTGTTTTTCTAGGACTTCAGGCAGTACTTTCAGGACAAAGATATTCATTGAATATGCACAATTGGCTATATTCTGGGAATACAACACATATGCATCGTACAGCTTCCCATCTGAAACTGGAGAGAGAAAGGCCGAGCTTAATATGTTGAGCCAAGCAAAGCTTTTCCAAAGGAAACAAGATACATCATAGAGCATCAACAGATGGCTGGGTTCACTCCACACTGTTTACCACCTCCTTCCCCCTCCGTCCTCCTATGGGTATCCCAAGGACACTGGAACAGGACTGACTTGTCTCCCAACACCACCACCAGCACCATCGGAAGACACTTTTGGCTTGCTGTGGCTTTCCTCCTTTATCTTTCTTTTTGGATACAATCTCTATTTTGACAGCGACTGACAGTCCCTTCAAAGTGCCTAAGCAGCACCTTAGAGGGTCCAACATTGGGGGGGAGGGTTTTCACATACCCAATATTCAAATGCTTTCTTTTTTCTATCTTTCTTTGTCTTTTATAAAGCTGCAATTGCCCAGTTGCAGAAATCATGACCCTCGGTTGGATAATGCAGAGAAGTGCACTCACCCAAAGAGGGGCCAAAGAAGCTTTTTTTCTTCCCTTTGCTTTCTCTTGTGAAAAGTCAAGCTGTCAAGGGAAAGCAACGTTGTGCTTGGTCTTGGCTTGCAAGATGGAGCCTGGGAGATTTATATGCCCTTCAAAGTGGGATCCACCATTTCTTGCCCAGGATTCTGGCTGCTTGGAAAGTTGCATTCCCCTTCTTTTTTGGCATTAGGGTTAGAGTTTGGGTCTCCTTTGCTTGCCTCTCACCCTTACTGTGTTGATCCCATTCGGAACTACAATTCCTGAACTAAACATAGGATGATATCCCACTGAACACCAGCACAGACATTCCACTAGCGTATGGGGTCTCCAGCACAAAGTTATTAGTGGCAGTGGTACAACAAGTTTTTCCAGAGGATTCAGTCACACCAAGAAAACACTATTGCACACACACCAGAGAGTAATTTGTTTGTTGAGGACACAAAAGAAGGTCCCTCTTGTTCACTGTCTTACCATGAGAGACGCAGGAAACACCAGCAAGTCTTTTTATATAGAAAAGACATTTTTTTGTACGTGGACATTAACAATAGAGAGCCCAGCTTCAGCTGGGACCAGCTGCCACAGTCAACATGCACAATGAATTTATACATTTAGCTTTTTGCACTAATCAGTAACAGAAAACATCACAGCAGAAAACATTTCATTACTTTTGTATATGGTTATCTTGACCTACACTTCTGGTGTCAGAGCTTCTGTCTCTGGACTTATCTCTCCATGTTTTAACCTTCATGCCAGAGGTTTATTTTATATTTTGGTCTCTCTTGTGTCCCCCTGATAGAACCCTAAACAATTGACCATTGTTGTTTGGCATCAGAAAAAATGTATATCCTACATAAGTGATCTATATTAGCACTAGCAGCCAATGGGATGCTGCCTATCAGCCTGCAGCATCTTTAGATCCACTGTTCTCTGATTTGAAAATGCCCCCAAATCCTGATTCCCTTTGGCAAGAAGTGATGAGAGAAAGCGCCTCTCATGGAGAACAACAACATGTGCTAATTAATGTTAGATACCAGGAAAATCTCTGCTCTCTTTAACCAGAAGAGGGCATCAAGGCACTGAACTGACAGTGCCAGACTTACCTCCTTTGCTGATAAGAGGCTGGAATGATTCCCGATACCAAAGTACTATTTCAACTCTGAAAAACCTGACCAGAGCTGTCAGTAGGATAAACGCTAGTGGAACAAGTCCTCCAATCAAGTAAGGCTGCAAGTTTAGAACTGTATTGGCAAAGGAAGGGAGGGACGGAGGGACAAAGAGTTATCACATTTCGTTGCATGTGAAGTGTGCACACAAAGAAATAGCAACAATAAGTGACTTGATGGTAAACCTACCATTTGCTGTTTTGCTAAACAAATGTGCGTAATAACATTTAGTTCCTTTGCTCTAACAAGCAAGCCCTTCTCAAAGTCAGCCCTTCTCATATTAGCATTTTTGGTTATAATGCTAGCAAAACTTTTACACAAGAGTGGGCACTGGACCATTAACAACTGGGAAGAAAATTCTAGAGGATTTTTTAAAGTATATCATAGAAAAGTGCATATTTCAAGACCAATGCAATGAAGGGGAAATAAAGAGATTTGGTGGAAATTGCTTCTCTAAACACCTGCAGAATTTCCAGCCACATCCTGCCAGGCCTTTAACAAGACTCCTTCCTGAGCGAGTTCCACAACCAGGGTTGCATATCCAGTTCTAGAGGAAAGGTCTCACTCCAGAAGGGACTTTTTCTTGATGTTTTCTGAATCGGTTCTGTGAGTTGGGATATGGTAGTTCCACCACACTTGCTGGGTCACTGCTGGGAATCTTGGCCCCTAAGCACCTTTGCTATGGAGAGCCACGGAGATTCCATCCTTTCTCCCAACAACTGCATGAAATTTCTCAGGACCTGCAATAGGGTGTCAACAGCATGGCCACGTTCCTTTCTACTTCTGCCTTTTAGTAATGCCAGTGAGGTGTTGAACTTGATGAGGGCTAATAAACTAAAGTCCAGTCCCAACAGGACAGACGTGCTGTGCGTAGATGGCTCTCCCCTTCAGAGAAACAGTGTGCAGCTAGGCTGGGGGATTCTCGTGGATGCCCCAGTTCTGTCCCTGGAATCTCAAGTAGCACCAGTGGCAGAATATCGTTTATCAGCCATAGCTCTCCTTCACAGTGATAGGATTCTCATGAGGTCCTAGTAACCTCTTGTGTAATATGTTATGTGTGGGGTTCCCTTTAAAAACAATTCAGAAACTACAATTCATACAGCACAACATCTGCAAGGGTTTCAAATTAGGCTGGCCAGTCAGACTGTCTCTTGCTTCACCCACTGCTTCTGAGCCCAGTTCAAAGGCTGAGCGCTAACTTTTAAAGCAGATGGGAAAGCTCTGAGCAAGGGACAGATCTTCCCACCCCTGCCCCTGCTTTATGCTTTATTTCATCTTCTCACCCCGCAGTATTTCTAGGTTGCCCCAGACAGAAAAAAACAGATTGCCCAGTTTCAGCTGAGTACTTACAAAATAAGAGTGATCAAGAATCTCTCTGCTTCTTTGTGAAGAAGAAGTCACATACATTTTGTATTGAACTACTGTATGCACACACGCATGCGTATTTACCTGGGCGTTCTAACATGAGGTATGCTGCAACGGGCTCTGAATCAAAGGACCAGACAATACACAAATATTGTCCATAGTTTTCCTCTTTCACTTTGGAAATATTAAACTTGTTTCCCAGTATCTGATCTCCTGAAGGTGATATTGCTCTAATGCCATAAAAAAGCAAACAGAGAAAACCCAACATTGGTAATAATATAACTGATTTTATTTGGAGTTGTATAATGCTCTTGCTTCTGGAAAAGATAAAGTCATAATTAAAATATTTTGAGATGGAAGAACTTAGCTGAAACAATCGTTTATTCAGCTTTGTTACCTCTGTATCACAAATGGGATCTGGGCCTGCATGGAGCCTCCATCTGGAAAGCTTCTACAGTTGGTGCACAGTAGGTGGGAACCCTGCCCCATCACTTTCAGAGGCTTCTTTCTTCCTAAAAGTGGTATCTACCTTCCAGCTCAATCAGGATGCCCTTCCATCAGCAATTCTGCTCACCTGCTACATACTGGAAGTGACTATGCATACCCTCAATGTTAGATATATTCTTGCTTTTCATAAGGCAAGATCTGAGGCATTTCCAAAGTCACATGCTTTTTTTTAATCTGTCATGGACAGCAGAGCTAGGAAATGCCAGTCTCTCCTCAATGTCTTTTGTCTTGGGTTGTCCAGACCATGCTCCTATTGTGCAATCTCCAACCTGAGGTTCTGACCCAAGCACATTACACACAGGCAGTTGCTCCATCAGTGGCGTTTGCTCAAAAAATAATTGTGTTGATTAGCCCCATGGCTAAAACCATGAACCTTCATTCAACACTACCACACAGAGGTTTGGGCCAGAGTAGACTGTTCTTTTTGGTCAAGTGCTGTCGTCATCCATTCTGCACAAATGACACTGACTTACCACAGAAAGTCAGCTTTCCAGTCACCCATACATGTTATGCACGGAGCCCACTAGGAAGTTTGCTAACCTGTAACTGTAGTTCTTTAAGTGGTTATCTGTGCATTCACACAACCCATGCACCATTCCAACTTTGATGACTTGGTTGCATGTAAAGGAATTCTTATTGCCACCAGGACCAAAATCAGCACCAGCACCCCCCCCACACTCTCTCTATATATAAATATTAATGATACACGGTGGGAGAAGGTTTCTGCCAAAGATTCTTCAGCTATGGAAGCTTCCCAGATCAAGGCTCCACACAGACACAGTGCCTGTATGAATGCACAGATGGCCACTCAAAGAGCTACCATTCCAAGTAAGCGACCTGCGTTTTCCCAGTATTTAAGGAAAGCGCTGCCAATAATTTCTACTCCTGTAAATCATCACTTCACCATGTTATTTATTTATTTATTTATTTATTCAATGTATATGCTGTCTTATTAGCCCTAGCCTTTCTGAGTGGCTTACAACACAATAAAATTCATAATGTACAACATAATATACAATATACAATGAGATCCACAGTTCATTGTATATTGTACATATTTCATTGTATAACAATATACAATGAAATCCACAGTTCACAATAAAAGCAGTGAACAATAAACATCCATAAGTAAAAGCCAGTAAGATTAAGTAAGACAAAATAAGGATGTTAAATAAAATAAATAAGATAAATTTAATAGATGGGGATTCAAAAAATAACATTTCAAAAACACAAACCAATTAAATCAGAATTATTTTTGATTGGCCCAAAATAAAAAAGGGAGAACAAATCCAAGTACTATGGAAGATGGCCAGCTTGAACTCTTCTGCTATGCACTCAAATTGCCACCATGTCAGTTGTGAGGCTAGAAGTTTATAAATCTCAAAACACCTTTAAAAATCTGTAATGCCTTCAAACCAGAGCAATGGGACAGGCATTATGAACATGCACTGTCGAGCTGCCATAATGACGCATCATCCTTTGGCCACATTTGGCTGTTTCTAATGTGCTGGTCTGATGCAGAATTTCCAGGCTATGCTTATTCAGTATTTACTTATTTATGTATTTACAAGATTGATATCCTTTCATAGTCTAGTAGAGTATTTCACAGTGAGAAACAACAACAAAGGCAAAATGGCTGAAACGATATCAATGGCCTGTTTAAAATGTTTGTGGAAGAATATTTATGGATAGCTTCTCATTTTAAGATCTCAAAGAATTTTGCAGCCATCTATAAAACAGTGCACAGTAATAAAAGCATCAACTAGTTAATGGCTGGGGAAAGTCAGTCACCAAAAGCGCATGATTGTCAATGCCTGACATATCAGAGAGGGGAAGCCAAGGAAGCTTGCCTACATAACCCTGTTCCTCTCCATTTTATCATCACAGCAACCTTGTGAGTTGAACAAAGAAGCTGTGACCTGACCCAAAGTCTCCCAGTGATCTTCATGGCTGAGTGGGGACTAGAACCCAGATCTCCTGAATCCCAGGATGAAACTCTAACCACATTGGTTTTCACACATTACGAGACCACTGTAAGACATCATTCTTTGAGGACATGAAGGAACTGAGGTCAAAAATGTCACAGTGTCTGTGCAGAAATTGCTTGCACCAATTGCCATATAGCATCAATTCAGCTGAACTGCAAATTATAGAGCAGTTTGTTTCAAGCACCCTATAAAAAACCTCTTTCTACTCTGTCCTCTAGCTCAAGGATGATCAAAAGATAAATGTGGGTTAACCAGTATATTTCTGGATGTTTAAAAGTAGATCTTCCAGTATTTCTAAGGTCACTTGTTTAGCAAAAGAACCATTAAATAGCTTCACTCCGCCCACCCAAAAACCAAAAAAGGAATGCTAGGAAAAATAGAGAAAGTTTTAGGGGGAAATGAGAGAAGCTATCACACTCATGTTTTAAGAAGACCACAGAAGTTTAAGCTACATCCTAGAGAAACACCCTAACCCTTAAATGTATATATCGATTTTACTATATGTTGCATATAAGAAAAATAAGTAGTTCATTTTAAAATGCCTGTAATAAGCCTTCTTGTATGCCCCTGAGGGATTCCTATTTTACCAAGTTATGGCGCCTGAATGAGGCCTCCCTACAACTGAACAATACCTTGAATTAAAATTATTGTTTTGTCTAACACTACAATGAACCCTCCAAGATGTCCTAATTCAAAGACCAACTAATATTTGATTTATACTTACATATATTTTTTTGGTTTATCTTGGGGAACATATTTGTCAGGAAATTCCCAATCCATAAAGACACTGTTTTCAATACCTGCAGAGGCATTACATTCCATCACAATACTGGATCCTACAAAAAAAGAAGCATTCTAGCAAATGAGTACGCAGAAAATATTAGAATTCCTTTAGCAGCATAAATAATAGTTTCATATCACAAGTAAATAGTTGCTTACCAAGTGCTACTTGAATTGAATTATTTTTTGGATACATGATCTCTACTGGTATTTTCTGTGGAAGAACTAACAAAAGAACTATCAATAAAAGCAACAGTTCATTGTGCCACAATTATTAATTATACTAATCTATGTTAAATTCTTGAAATTAAATTTCTTGCTGCTGTTGATTACAATCAGATCCAGGGCACTAAACACTAATTTGTGTGCAATATATAAGAAGAGTAACTTCATGATGCACATCATAGCTAAAGCATTTACACATGGCCTGTAGAACAAAGCATGTCAATTCTGGGGACTCATTTTGAAGATCTGCATTACATATGCATACAGTAATACTTCTGAACAAAAATAGATCCTGTTGTTGCCAGTATTCCACACCTCCATATAAAAAGCTGTGCTTTTAACACTTATGTGTTCCCACTAAACAGCCTGATTTTGGAACTAAAGATAAATATGCTTATCTACAGAGTGACATACAGTCTATGAAAAGCCAGTTTAAGCTGGTCCAGAAACAGCTTAGGGTGTCAGAACAAAGCACTGTGATATCAAGGAAAAATGCATACAGCTATGCAATGGGATGAAACTATTTTTATGCCGTTTGGTAATAAATTAGTTGCATCATTAGGCAAGCTGTGTTCTACAGTATACTATTAGACATCTAAATTATCAACTACCAAACATTTAAGCCAAAAGTTAGAAGTAAATCATGCACATACCAATAACAGTTAGATTAATAGCTCGTGAAACATTATACAATATTCCCATGTGTGTATATGTTGCCTGGCATATATATATTCCTTCATCGTTTCTACTTGGTTCATTAATTATGAGACTTTCTCCAGAAGCCCTAAATCTCTTATCTTCAAATAATCCAGGATAGCATGCCTAAAACATAAGCAAACAAATACTATCAAAGCTCCAAACAGGCAATGTCACAGAACCCAAACTTAGCTTACACAACAAATGAAAACAGATGAAATCACTACAGTTCATACTCATGAGTCAAGTGTATCTGGTCAGGAAACAGAAAGAGCAAAAATGTATCTCCCTTCACAAAAGAACTTATTGGAAAATGTTGAAAGTATTAAGCTTGATTAAGGACTTAAAGGATTCTGGAAATGAGGAGGGGAGGTTAAAACACACACACACACACACACACACACACACACATGACCATCAGTGTTCATAATTACTTCACCCTCCCTATTACTCTCCTGCCATACTTTCTCAAGTGTACCAAGCTATGGTGGAGGGAACCAGGTGGCCCTGGCTAAAAGAAACCAGGTTTAAAGCTGAGTTTCTCAGTTCCTTCTGCACTGCTGACTTAATTCTGAATACTCATGGCTGTAGTCATTTCCATTTTTTCAGACTCACTGGCCAGAAAGATTTAAAAAGAAAACAGAATAAAGAAACGCCGACAGATTCCAGGAACTCTGCCAGCATGCTTAGCCATATCCATGCAGAATGCTAGAAGGTTTACAGAAATCTGGATTTCTTGTCTACCATCTCTCTGCCAAACAAAAAGCCTGAGAAAGTCTGGAAAGAAGGAAAACTAGCAGCAGAACTAGAAACGGGGAGCAGCTCTCCTAAATCTCAGAAGGAGCTTGAGCTTTTCCTGATGATCATTCAAAAGGGCTTGGAAAAGATTATTCAAAAAGATAGGTGCCCTGCAACACTATCAAGTAATCACTTTCCTGGGCTCCTCTTTGCTTTTTTTTTTTTTAATTAAATGCAGGATTGCAACAGAGATACTATATTTTTCCTCACTTTTCTCCCCACCACATCCTGTTCATACTATGAGCAGGGCATGATTTTCAACTTGTCCCTTCCTTCTCTAAACTGCAACATGTTTCTGGAAATGAACAAGTGGAGACCTGTGAGAACCTTTTGCCTGTTGGTATGTTTTGTTTAACCAGTCATATGGTTTTCATTTAACCAGCAGAAGAACTCAGTAGTGAAATTCTCATCTACTGCTCTACAACTTCCTCAACGCCTTTCCTTACATAACTCAGGACCTGCAGCATTGCCAGATCAATTCAGCTGAACAAGGAAGTCTTCTCTTCCCTTAAAACATTTAAAGGCATCCCTGGTCTTTGCCACTGGCCTTCCTTCTCCCACATGATGTATCAGTTTCAGGAGCCAAGAGTAGGGATGTGAAGCTGTTACTCTCTCACACCACCAGATTTCGCTCCCACACTGTCATGAGCCAGGTTTCCTCCCTATGCACACTCAAAGGCACAGACCATTCCTGCAAAAAATTCTTTATTGACCAAAGCATTTCCAGAAGCACAAATACTCAGAAGAAATTGTTGAGCATGCACAGAGCAGTTTGTTGAACCAAATCTAGTATTTACTTCTAGGAACTCTACTTACAAGTGTGCACACCAAGAACAACTGTCTTTCTCACTCCCAACACTCAGCTCTGGTCAGGAAGCAAGCCAAGATAACACAAAGTCCATGAACACTAGGGAACACAAGTGGACCTCTCCTTTGTGCTGAATTATTCTTGCAAAAAAGTATGCGAATCTTCGCATGAAAAAGGTTTGAGGCCGAAAGAAAGCAGGCCAGAGTCTGGGAAGATGGGGCAAGGAAATCCAAGGGATTCCCACCTTCAAACCAGATTCCTACACATCATTAGCTGGGAGGGAAAACAAAATGGAAGAACAGACAACTATCTTTTCCTTTTTTGAAGAGATGGATTTTTTCTTCCAGTTCTTCCCAACAGGTGATATGTCCCATTGTTTCTTGGAAGGCAGTTATAGTGGCTTCATCATGCCACTGTTCCTTAATAAGATGGTTTTTCTTGCTGATTTACCCTCTACCAGGGCAAGTAACCCTTCTGTACAGGCAGAGAGGGAACAGGAAGACAATCTGCCCCAAAGTAGGGATATCTACTGCAATCACTGAAAAAAGCTGCCTTATGTACTCTTTGCTCTCCTTCATATCTCCTAGCTGTTATTGAAACTTAGCCCATTCAGTAAAGATTGACCACTGGAGATTGGTCTGTTCTAATTTCAGATGCCTTTACCGAGTTGTTGCAAACTTTGGCCACCTTTTTTCTGTTATTGCAGAAAGCACCTTCCCAGATACCTTCTGCAGATACCTTCCCAACACCCTTTCCTGAGTTATCTGGTTCACTGTGATTTCTTTACACTATCGCCAATGTTTTGAGCACAAAAATCGACCAGTGTGAAACTGAAAGCAATTACTATAGTCTTTTGGTTGAAAACCTTTTAATTAATTAATCAATTTCTATACTGCCCAACAGTTGAAGCTCTGAACCATTTTAGTGTAAGTGTGCTACTCAGCGTATGGCTTAATATGATCCAATGGCTTTAAACACCCTTTACAAAAATATTTGTTACTTCCATCCCACTACCCCTCTTGTCACTACCAGTTTAGAAAACAAAATATACCTAACAGTTATGGAACACACATTCACACACCTACCTTGAACCACTGTAAAACAAGTTGAGTACTTTCATTTTTAAAATAATCGAGGTCAGGACAAGTCAACTTTCCAGAATTATGCAAGAACAGTCTTTGTAAATACGTTATCTCTTGATTAAAACAAAAACCCTCACTGTTGTTGAAAACCATTAGTTGCTTCTCACCCTTTGTTGAGTTCCTGTAATGACAAAAGGGTATTGTGCACAGCATATACATGAAGCCAAATACATGGTAACACTTGTTGTAGCAGATGTACACACACATACCCACACATGCATATGGATGCATGCATCATATGACATGGCATCAAATCTGTATCTATTTGGAATTGCACAAAGATCCAGTGGAAAAAAAAACCCTGTTCCACCTCCAGAGCAAAAAAAATAAGGAAGTATCTCCAGATTTGGTTATGCTTGTTATTGTAGGAGCTACACAAAGGACAGAATATGGAAATGAGTAGGAGGGCTACATGTTATGTTTATTTTTGTTGCCTTACAAAAAGTTTGGAGCCATGAGCTGCATTTAAAGTTAAAATCTCCCCCCACCCCCATGATTCTGATTAAGTAATCTCATCCATACACACACCCCAAACCCACCCAAGAAACTACACACAGCATAATAAATGTAACCTATAGTTTTTTCTTCTCACAGGCAGGTTTCATTTCATACTGCTGAAGAAAAGGATTATCCTGATGTGACAGGTGTGCAGAATTGTATGGGTTAAAATACAATCATTTTATTCGTATTATTTTAAATTTGTATCCTGTCCTTTCTCCAAAAAGCTCAGAACTCCAAAAAGCCTAGCCCTGGGAGGTAAACTAAACTGATGCTGTGTCCAAACTGCAATCCAAAACTTGTTAACCATGGATTATAAAGATGGAGATGAACATCTCAGATGCATGTTTCTCTTCACCCCAAAGATCTGGCCTTACATTAAGCCAGAGTTCCCTTTTCTGTTTGAAGCTGGGAACTTGAGCCAAGCAATGGTTAAGAAACCAGGAAAATAAACTAGGATCTCAATGGTTTATGAAGCCTTGGGCAACTGCTAACTCAGGCTGAACTTGAACAACCTAAGTGGAAAACTTGGCTATCAAGTCATTTAATCTGGGTTTTCTAATCAAAGCAGAATGATCCAGATACTGCAAGCATGCTGTTATGGATGTCAGTCCAGGAGGAAAAAAATCCTACAAAACTGACATCCAGAGGGTTAGTTGGAGGATTTTGTTTTGTTTTGTTTTACTGGTATCAATAAGCCGAAGTAGTTAGCATGTCAAAATTATTTTGACAGCATTTACTTCCTTACTATCCTGAATTAAGTGCATTTTCTAGACAGTTTATAATGCTGTGTCACAGAGTACATTACTATAAAAATCTATCTAGATTAAGAAAGCCACAAATTCCTGTTGCTTGGTCCTGCAATAAATAGCAATAGTCCTTTTACTGGCTGGAGTGAATGGAAGGAACTCATAGTTGCTGCTGTCTGATCATTCGACAGAACAGATCCCAAATGAAATTGAGAGTTCATTTCTCTCAATTACTCATCTTCATGTGCCATTTAGAGCATGACATACACTTAGTAATATGTTACAGGGCAACACTGGATGCTGTATCACATCAACAAAGAAACTGTTAGGGGAAAGGCTTTCCACAGCAGTAAGTACTTCCTCCCACCAGTATCCGGGAGCAGTTTGGTTCTGAAATAATTTCTGCTGCCAAAAATAAACTTTGTTATTTAAAAATAAAAACTATAGTACTTCCTTTTTTATTCATTAGTTGAGCTTTTGTGTGTAATATTATTAATATTATGGTGTTTGTATTTATGTATTTATGTTTTTTTCTATATTTAAAAAATTAAAAAGGGGGAAATAAAAATAGATGTGGAGGCTACTTCAGCAGCACCAAGAAAAGCATGCAAGGGCGCATTGGTGCCTGCAAGTGCCCCTTCACCTAGCCCTCCTGCAGGGCCTAACAGCTACATAGCTTTCTCAGTGCAGAAACCTGTGAATTAAGAATAATTGTTGCCTGATTACAACCAACAAATATGTTAATATGCAATGGAAAAATTTCTGGAGTTCTGTTGCCATATCATTATTGTTGGACTCTCTTAGGTTATATCTATCAAGCTGCATTTCCAATTGGTGTATTTAACTTTAAAAAACATGAACTTACTGCCCAACACATTGATAGAGTCCTGAATCTTCCATGTGTGCAGGATTAAACCAAAGCAAGTCTCCCCGCTGATGGATCCTGGAGTAGGTATCCCTAGTTATTGGTATAGCACTACCATTTCTGTACCATGTTACATTATCACTCGCTTGTACAGAGGATGAAGACTTTTGTGGACAGCAAATAGCCCCAGGCTCTCCCACAGGCACAAAAGTGGCAATGTTGACACCTAATAAATCAATAAATACAATGCACATCTTGTTTATATAACTGTATTTGTAACTGCAACAAATGGTATACTTCAAAGATTTAATAATATGTCCTGCCATAAGCTTGGATACAACTATGGCAAATTTTGCTCTGAAACTGACTGAGAATTAAGCAGGTTTGAGTATACAGTACTGCAAATGAACAGTTTGTCACCATGGCTACATACTAGAGTTAGCAAATATGCTGGCACTGTCAATTAAAAAGCAGAGATATAGTCAGAGAAAATTCAAAGATCCCCATCTTTCTGTACGACCCCTACCTGCACCACAGTTCCCATTCTCCTTGTGTTGCTCAAATGATGATGTGGCCAAAATTCACAATAATCCAGGTAGGAGCAGGAACCTGTCCCCTTGGGTGCATCACAAAGCAAATGGCCCCTGCTCACAATATTATCTGTCACATTATGAACAGTCCCTGCATCCCTCGCCCAGCCGCATCCTTCTGCCTGACTGCCATCACTAGCAGAACACGGGAAGTGCAACCAGAAGCCCTAGGCAGGGAAGCGTTGCAACAATTTTCTTACAGTCAAACTCCTCTGCAACTCTCCTGGGCTCAAAACCATCTATGCCACTACTCTGTTTTACTGTTTATTATTTTATCTGTAAGAGGTTTGTGAATTATTTCTATATTGTTTTTACATTGTCATACATTTATATTTTACTGTAAGCTACTTAGTGGCTTTATTGTATTAATATTACAATGCATGGCCAGCTGGGGGTGACCGGAAGTTGTAGGACTTACTTCTGTCTAAACGGGCATAGCATTGCCAGGATAAAAATGTTGTCAATTAAGCGAGCAAAAGGCATCCCTCTAATAAATCTTAAAGGTAAGATTTCTTAGAAAGCAAAATAAATCTTTTTTATGTATATGCTTGTCTCCTTATTTCTCTCTTTGGGAAATAAGATATATAAAATTGTCCTTCCCTAACTTAAACATCCTGGTTCATTTTTCCATCATAAAAAAAGGAAGACACTTGGCCACAGCTTAACAAATGTCTCATACAATGGAACCAGTAAAAACCACAAACAGGTCTTTCGTATCTTCTATGTCTGACTTTTTATCTCTGCAATCATGAAAGTGACACAAAATCAAGGGATGAATATACATGTGCAAACTCAAGTAAAGCAGCTTCTCATGTGAGATGTAACTGTCACATATTTTTGTAAGCTGGAGAGAACCTAAATGCGTGATGACATTTATTGGAATGCATGCAATAGAATTAAATGTATAAGAAATGCTGTTGACTTACAAGACCTAGCTGAAGAATCAGCCAGAAAGATCCAACAAACGATCCACAGAACCGAGATCATCTTTTGCTGATAAAGGAATGGAAAGATGTTCAAACCTGCATTGCCTTTTAAAAGTTCTGTCCTACAGTCAACACACACACGCCCCTTTCTGGAAAGCAAACCCCCATTCTCCAAGTTAGTTAGATTCTTTATCTGTAATCACCTGGTATGCTATAAAGTGAAGCATATAAAAACATTAGGACTTTCTTCCATTTCTCAGGCATAAAATTATAAGCTGTTATAATAAATACATTAAGCAGCATCAATACATACAAGCTATATGTAATCATTTAAAATGGAACACTAAAAGGATCTATGCTTACCTAATCTAATAATCTGTATTCCTTATATTATTAACACTTGACCTGAGAACAATGGCATCGGTTCAAAAGGAATTCTTCTTGTGCAATCTGCAAATACATTGAGGTTTTGTTTTTTTTGTTTTTTTAAGTGTGGCTGGAAGACTGGTAAGTGATAAAATGTAGCATGGATAAAGTAAACACCCTCACAGACTTTTTTAATTCTATGAGAGTCCCACAAAGAAATAAACGTAGATAATTTTGTATGCCATAAAAATTTGTTATCCACAAAGTTTAAAAAAAACCTAAGAGCAATACACTTTTCCACAATTATCACTCTAGATAGAAGCAGTAGGACCAAATATGTATTTAATAAATATTTATTTATTTATAGCTTTTATATACTATATACCATCCAATTACTAAAGACTTGGGATGGTCTTACAAGAAGAATGAAGCGAAGCGAAGCGAAGCATCCAAATAATTCTGATAAAATAAAACCCACATTAAAACCTAGTCAAACATTTAAATAATGGAAAAATGAAAAGGTTTTAGCCTGGCACCAAAAAGAATAAAGTGACATTGCCAAGCAAACCTCTCTGGGGAGCGCATTCCATAACTGGGGTGCCACCACAGAGAAGGTCCTTCTCTGGGTAGCCACCCTCTGACCCTGATCTTAAGGGGCAGGCAGGCACATAGGGAAGGAGATGCTCCTTCAGGTCTCTAAGTCCTAAGCCATTTAGGGCTTTATAGTCATCCCCAGCACCTTAAATTGGGCCCAGACTTTAACTGGCAGCCAGTGTAACCAATAGAGGACCAGTGTTATATATGAGTATCTGCTGGTCCCTGGCAACATCCTGCCAGTTCTATTCTGAACCAACTGAAGTATCTGGACTGTCTTCAAGGGCAGCCCCATGTAGAGCGTGTTACAAGAGTCCAATCAGGAAGTTAGTTCTAAGCACAAGAGTTCTATGAAAAATTTAGAGCCATGTTGGAAGAGGAGGACCCTGTCATCTCTAAAGAAGGAGAAAAAGGTGCTGAAGCAAAAGGTGCCGAAGCAATGGATATAACAGCATACCATTCTGAAGAAGGAGAAATACTGAAGGTTGATTCACAACAAGAAGTACAGACTTTGGACTCAAAGGAGAAAAAAAAGGTAGAACTGTAAAGGCAAAGAATAAGTAGATAATTTTATTAAATATGTCTCTTTATGGCAGGAAAATGGAAGGGGAACAGGTTAAGGAAACTATGATAACATGGGCACAAAATTTTGGATATAATATTGAATTAGAAAAGTGGCAAAAGCTATGGGAGAGAAATATTAAGGTAACTTTATCAAACTTCGTATAAAGAAAATTTATACAAAATGTTTTATAGATGGTATTTGTCACCAAGTCGATTAGTTAAGATGTCTCCAAATATGTCAAACGGATGCTGGAAATGTAAACATGATGTGGGTACTTTTTACCATATGTGGTGGACCTGTGAATATGTGAAAAAGTATTGGATTAAAATACATAAATGGCTTGAGGAAATGCTCAAAAACCCTTAGCTTTTAAACGTGAAATTTTCTTGTTAGGCATTATACCGGAAAATATTAGCAAACAAGAAATGTATTTGATGCTACATTTAATCACAGCAGCGAGGATTGCGCTTGCTCAATACTGGAAGAGTGAGGAACTACCCACTGAGGAACTGATTTTAAAAAAGATTCTGGACTGTGCAGAAATGGACAGATTGACTCTATTACTGAAGGAGAAAGAAGATATTGACTTCTATCAAACTTGGGACCTTTTTCATGATTGGCTGGAGAAACGGGACTTGGCTTAGATTTAAAGATGTTTTTTAAATTTTTATAAATCGATTTGAATATGATTATAGATTGTTAAAAAGATATGTTATAGGGGGCTGACCCACTACGTCCGATGTATTTGATGATTGATGTTTTTTAGTTTTTAGTTTAAAATCTTAATAAAAATCTTCATTAAAAAAAGGAAGTTAGTTCTAATACAGTAAATCCCTTTAAACAGAATCAGAATGCTGATCTGTAAATCTTAAAAAAAAACAAAGCAAGCCAAACAGGATGCCCACCAAACGGAAATTTAAGTAATGATGGAAAAAAATTAAACAGCACTTGTGGCAAAACAAAGTGCCTGGAGCAATAACTTGTACAACCAAGTAGAGAAAGGCAACCGTGCAAACTTAGTGTCTAAGTGATGCCCTGGATCTCATCTAAGAGTCATACCAGCCAGGGACAATGACCACAATGCTATCAGCATTAATGCATATCGAAGTTAAAAGCTTGCCCAGAATATACAGTTTGATCACATTTAATTTAAAATAGGGAACTTTTCAAAACCTAGGCATTTGTTAAAAGGTGGTGAATGGGAGAGCCAGGGATGCTCATCTTTCTTTAGAATTATTCGAAGTTATTTAAAACTGTAATAATAGAAAGTCAAACAGAATATATATTGTACATTAGGAAAAAGTTCAAGATGTGCCGAAGTGCTTCAAAGGATTAGCCCAGAAAGCCACAAAAGGTAAGGGAGGTAGAATTTGTCTTGGCCAAATGAGAACAAAAAGGAAGAGAAGCTTTGACAAAAGAAGTATGAGTTGACAAGGGATATAAGCAAGACATGCTCTTTAACTATGTGGCAGTAGAAAGCCTTTCATCAAAACAGTCAGGTCTTTATACAATGGATTCTTTTGTTTGCACTTTCATTGTAAGAGAGGTTAGACACATACTCTTCCTGGAATCCTTGATCAGGTTTGAACAGCATGCCGTGGCTCAACAGGGATTCCTTATCCAGCCCATATTTGAACCCAGGGAGTGAAGCTTATGCAAAGGTTAAACTACCCATGTCACCGGGATCACACAACACAACAACCCACAAGTGGGGTTTAGATATTCACAAGGATGGTCTTGTGCACCACAGCCTCACCATGGGTTTGTGCAACATGGAATCTAAAGAAGCACACCAGGTGAATTCTATGGCTGAACAATATTTTAAGAATTAACAAAGTCTGGATGAATACCAAGGAGTGGAAGGTAACAAGCATAACACCAGGTTTTGTTTTTAACAGATGAATAGGAGCAGGGGGGAAAATGCACAGGTCCAGTCTTCTTCTGTACATTTGTTGATAGAATACAAGATTACAGCTAAAACTGGTCAGGCTTCGTAGGACATGGAATAATCAGTTCAAGTTATGACAATCCAGATTCAGGCTGGACATCAGGAAAAGCTTCCTCAGTGTCAGAGCAATACAACAGTGCTTCCACTGACTGGAGAGGTGGTGGGCTCTCCCACACTAGAGACATTCAAAAAGAACCTGCACAGCCATCTGAGTGGGATGGTGTAACTTGGCGTCCTGCAACAGCAGGGGGTTGGACTCAATGACCTTCATGGCCCCTTCCAACTCTACCATTCTATAATTCTATGAATAAGTTTTTATTATCCTTTATGATGTTGTATTTTACGCAATTGCAAGCCATCTGAAATCAACATTGACGGTAGGGAGCATAGAATTGTTAATAAACAAGATGTGTAAATCTTTTCATAGTTGACCTAGTATGAATGTGTGTATACTAGCATAAAACTTGTCAAGAAAAACCCACCCTTATTATTTTGCCTTCCACCTCATCATAGAATGCTGCCCACTTCTTCAGACCAATAGGCTCCACTCTCTTTTCTAGAAGTTGCGAAAATATTCAGTATCTCTTAAACTCTCTTTCATTTCTCTTTGAAGAAGTTACCATATTTATCTGTACAATTCATCCCATTGTGGAATAAAACTAATTATCTCCTAATATTTGTAGTCAGGGCTGACAGAAGACATTTTGCTGCCTCAGGTAAGAAAGAATATAGCCATGATCTATGTACAGAATTTTACTTCAACAAAATGTCCTTATGTAACAAAATGTAATCAATAAAAAGTAAACAAAATGTAAACAAAGTTTACTTTTGTTGAATTTTATTTCAACAATGGCAACGAAAAATGTCCTGCATTGTGCATGAGGAATATCATCTAGATGAGGAGATGTGAGAACAAGCGATATTGTGCAAACAGAGTTATGTCCTCCAACTCTCAGCACTGCCATTCTCTATCCTTCCACATCTGCCACCTGAAGAAGCTGCCCCATGGTTCCTTATGATAGGGCCAGCCCCATATGGGATACTACTAAATATCGTCTTTCATTCATAAATTTCCCCATTACAGGGTAGACAACTTGAGGCCTTCCAGATGGCTTTTGGCCTACAATTCCCATAATCCCTCACCATTGGCTAGTGCTGATGGGAGCTATATGGAGGGCCTTTGACAATGTGCTATGCGTGTCAGTGCTGTGGCTGGGTTTTTAATTTTTTTTTATTTTAAAAAAATCTTTGTATACTCCCTTATTTATCTTAGTTAAAAACAATCAGAGGTCAGGAATTCAGGACCTTTCCACATAGTCTGTTCCATGTTGTTTACTCTATACTGTTTACACACTTTTTCTGCTGAATCCAAAGTTTCCAAAAGTTTGCTTTTCAAGAGTTCACTGACCTCACAGTTTGAAGACAGAAGTTCTTTTCTTACATTCATAAATACATAAGCAGTCAATAGTCTGCAGCCAGAAACCCAATCTCCAAAAGCAGACAAACATGCTTGCCACCCAGTTCATCTGAATTGTCTCACCTGAACATGAAGGGGTCCCAAGGCACAAGAATCCAGCACACACGGGCCTGCAATGCACAACGATTACCTGCCACGAAGCAAGCAAGGCAAGGACCTAGCATCCCATCCAAAATACACAGGCATAACAATCTCTGGGATGATCAACACCAGTTCACTGTCCTATTCATGAAAGTAAGAAAATGAGGAAAAATATCTGCAAACTTTATAACGAGCATTTTACCACAAATGTGTTTACAAGAAAAGTATGGCTTCTGTATTTATGTTTCTCCTGCAGAAGACGGATTCCTTCTCCCCCTTCAGCCTCCAAACCTGCTCCAGAGGCTTTGGGGGTCCTTTGGAGCAGGTTTGAGGAGCATCCAAGGAACTGTATCAGTGAGGAGAGAAGAGGTCACACTGCAAGATTCACTGTGTACCAAAGCACTTGTTTTCCAGTTTCAAGGAATTACTTTCCTTGATTTGGAAAATCATTTTTAATTCAGAATGCAATATGCAATGCACTTTCTCTCTGCACCACACCATAGTTGCAGATTGCATTTACCTCACTGAACGCATACACAGCAAATGTATTTGGCACTCTGTGCTCTTAGCCTTTGACTGTAATTTTGTTACCTCGGTTATGTATTTACGCCAAAACTAGGCGTCAAATTTATGCAAGTCTTGCATTCCATTTTAACAGTGTAACAAACTGCAGGTGTTTCATCTTTCCCATCACACTCAGCCTGACCTCCCTATTCCTCTCTTTTTATTCCTTATTTGCTTATGTGTTTGTGATTAGAAAGAAACATTCAACTATTTTGCACATGCACACGCACTTCTTCCTATTTCAGTATCAATTCCAAAATAAAATAAAAGGATGGCATTTGAGGAAAAATGTTCCTCTATCTAAATAGTTCGTACAGTCTGTCATATTAATTCTTTTAAAATTGTAAGCCCGTGGCCAGAGACTGTTTCTCGTCTTGGCCACAAGCCCCCCAAAAATGCATAGCCTCCCATTGAGACATTACATGAGAGTCTCAAAGAGTCATTCTGGGAGGCACAAAGAAACCGACGTGCCTGCAGAATTGGTAGCAGCTGCCTAACCACCTTAGGAAAGACAGAAATGTGAAGGGACCGGCGTGTACATTGCGAATATAAGGGCAGGATAAGGTGGGATCAAACCTGCCAAGCTCGCCTATGTGTCGACGCGTTCCGAGTCCTGCAGCCCTCAGCTAGGCTATGATGGATGAAGAACGCTGGAAACCGTATGCATTTTCTTCTGCCTATCTTACCACGCGTAGGATTGCACCTTAAAACGCGCCAGGCAGTGCATCTGCCCCCAGCACCTGCTCAAGGGGCAGACATTCCGGCAAAGCGGGGCGCGGCTTGCTACCTGCTCCAAAGGAGCGCTCCGAGAGCCTGGGAAGACACCCGCTCGTTGCAACGAGAACGACCGCGATCCGGGCTGCTCACCCCCTTGCAAAGCGCTGCGCCGTTTAAAAGGCGATCGAGCGGGCGAGAGAGGGGCCGCCCGGGCAGAGCCCTGCGGAGCGCAGCGCAGCGCAGGCAGCGCCGCCTCCAGCGGCTGACGCAGGCCGTGCCGGGAAGCGGCGGAGCGGAATGCTTCCCCGCGCGCCAGCCCTCCGAGCCAGAAAGGGAAAGTGGCGGCGGCTCTCCCGCCTCTGGCGCGGGCTGCGCCGAGCAGGAGCCGACGCCGCAAGCCCCCCGCCACCCCCCATCCGGCGGCGCCGCGCCCCCCTCGCTATGCCTCACCTGGACCGGCGCCGACGGCCCCGCTCCCCGGAGCGCCCCAGGCAGTAAGCGGCGAGGGCAACTTCGCGCGCCGCGCCGCATCCAAACTCCGCCCCCTGCCCGTCGGGACCGAGCTCGGGAAGGAGGCGGCGGCCGCCGGGAACGGATCCGCGGGACGGAGCAGCAGCTGGCTGCTGGACAGGAAGCGGGGATGCGCTGACTCGGCTTCGGACGACCGCAGGTCGGACCCGGACGCACCGCGAGGCCTACCCCGTGCTGGGCCTCCCGAGGACGATCCCTCTGGGTCGCCCCCGCCACGCCACACCACGCACGACCATCGCGCGGCTCCGCGTGGAATGACTGCCGCGCGCTCCCCGCGACGTTTGCTCAGTGACCAAGCGCCGCGCGCCCTTGGCCGGTGCCATGATGGCAAGCGCATGGGAAGCAGTTCGAAAGGGCACGCATGCCACGCATTTGCGTCTGTGGCGTGGCACATTCCACACTACAGCCACGCTGCCAATTCTGAGTACACTGTTTGCCACACTGTATGGTTTTAAGGGCACAGTCCTATGCCAGAAGGCGCTGGCTGGCTGGCGGACAATTCTGAGTCCCAGCTCCAACCAAGGAGTCACAGTCTGAGCTCAGAGCTGGGGGTCTGGCAGATGAGCCATCTAAGTCTTGTGGGGCAGAAATCTTCTACTTCCACAGGAAGCCTGTGGACCAGAGTGTTGTTGGCATTTCCACTGGATTGCACCCTAATTGTTGTAAACTGCCTAGAGTAGGAATGCCATGGCATTTTGGACCCATGGGCACATCTGAGAATTGGAGGAACTGTGATGCCTTACCATTTTGACATCGATCTGCTGCATCTTCTTCAACAAACATTTTCATAAAGGACTGTCTGATTCAGCCAGTTGCTGGAGGGCAGCACAGCTGATGCAGCATTTGAATGTATGTTTTGGCAACGTGCAGTAGTTGCTTCTCTTAGGAGGATCTCATGATGCAAATAAATGTCGTACTTGATCAGTCTTGAATATTCACTGATATAGGCACTCTCAAATTATTTAAACTACTTCATGGAAATTAGCAGATGGTCAAGATGAATGGATTCTCCGTGTCCTTTTGACACCTATGCAATTGATAGGACAGCACTGGAAGATTAAGCACCTCCTATAGTGCAATGGATTGAAGACTCAAAAATGGCTGCAATATATGAGCCATTGTGGTGTTGTGGTTAGGTCTAGGACCCAGGCAATCTGGGTTCGAGTCTCCACTCAGCCACGGAGGCAACAGGGTGACTTTGGGACAGTCACAGACTCTCAACCCAACCCACCTCACAGGGGTGTTGCAGGGATAAGATTGAGAACAGGAGGGAGAGAATAATGTAAGCTTCCCTGAATTCTTTAAAAAAGAAAAAAGCAGGATATAAAACTAATTAATAAATAAAATGACCAGGTGGCAGATAGGGACCACCTTCAAATGGCAGCTTATTTAGATACATGATTCATTTTCATTGAAGCTGATGTGCAATTGCTAGAAACTAGTAAGCATTTCATAAAATCCATGTATGCATTTTTTAAAAATTAAAAAACAAAGTGGGTGCACACGGGTGCCTTAATATAAACCCCTGGCCAGAAATGTAATGAAATCAAATACATAATGAATAAATGTACACTGAAAATTAGTCTCCTTCCTCACCCCCAAAAAAAATTAATAAAGGTAACCAAAAATGCTACTATTAACCCTTGTTAACTCAGCAGGTTGTGGGGATAAGATGGAGGAGGAGAATGATGTAAGCTGCCTTGAGCCCTTTGTAGGAAAAAGGCAGGATATAAATCCAAAAATAAATAAATAAATAAATAAAAAGTCTATCAGTGGGTGGGGAGAAATAGCATAAGGAAGCAGAAACAACCTCAGAATGATGGGTTAGGAGATTAATGGCGAACCTTTTAGAGACTGAGTGCCCAAACTGCAACCCAAAACCCACTTATTTTTCACAAAGTGCCAAAACTACAATAAAACCTGAAAACAGAGGTTTTAGTTTAGAAAAAAAACAACTCACAGTCAGTCCAGGCGGCAGCGCACTGACAAGCCATGCGAAAGCTCAGACGAGTCACAGGTAGAGTCGCAGCTCGTGACATCATTGCCTGGCACCACTACTTCTTTCCAAGCATGCGATGGCCCCTATGTGCGCTGTTGTCCGATGCTCGGCTGCTGGGGCGATGCTGGGGAGACTTGGCTCATGTGCCAACAGAGAGGACTCTGCGTGCCTGCTGCAGCATGCATGCCATAGGTCCGCACCACTGGGTTAGGAGATGCATCAGGATCTGTAACCAAGCCATGCCGTGCTTTAACAATTTTTAAAACCAGAAGCCTTTTGCAGCTATAGACAAAAAGTCCTGAAATTCCCAGCACTGCCCAGTCATCCGCATTGGTGGAAAATGCTTGAGATGACAGGACTGTTTTTCCTTGAAACATGCATTGGTTTTCATTCTTGGTGTTTTTTTAGATGTTTATTTACAGTCTACAGAGCACAAAAATATAAACAATTTTAGAAAATTTGTATAGATAGACCTCAGCTTTCTACAGTTTTCTCTAATAAATTTGCACATCTTTTCTAGCTTAAATTGTGTATGATGCCAAATAATATTGCACAATCGCCTGATTGTGGAATCTTTAAATCTGCAATCCTAGCTAATTTACCCTCTTTCTTTCATAGACATCTGCTTTCTCAGGGTTCCAGTACTTTAGGAAGGGAATCACAGTCACACCATTTTCTCATCATATCGTGTTGTTCCTTAAAATAAAAAAATAATTCTAAATCCAAAGGTTTCCCTAGAAATAAACCTCACTGGAGCATTACTGGAGAAAAGAATCATGTTCAGGATTGTGATTGGTATTGGAGCATAGGCAGAAGGGAGCTCTCAGAAAAACCATGCCTTGCATAGCAGAACACCACATTTGAGAAAGATGCAATCCGTAAAGGAAACCTCAGCCTTGAACTTGGAAGAGCTGGGTGCAGTTATCATGGACTGGACATTTTGGACTGCTTTCATTTGTAGAGTCACCATAAGTTGAAGATGACTTGATAGCACATAGCAACAACATAGGCTGAATGATTCATCACCACATGGGTTCAACATTTAAGTGTGGTTTCTTAGAGCAGCATCTGCACAACAGCCAAAAATTCATGTTTCAAGCATTAAGGTCATTACCAAATTAACAACATTGAAAAGAGGCAGTCCATGTGCATAGACCTGGAGTGAGATGTGAACTTTGAGTCTATGCCTGACACTCAACTGCTTCCAATGTATCTGTTATTTGCATTTGGCAAGCCCTTTCAGATGTCCCTATGATGACCCTTAAGAAAATGCAGCAAGGGGGTACACAAATGTTAGGGACCTTCATGGAGAGGACTGTTTGAATAACATGTACAAACAGGAAAAACTTGGAAGACCATCCAAGTGAGGGACCAGCCTTCCACATAGGCTGTTCACAAGCATGAGCAGAAATGAAATGCTGCGGCAGGGAGCATACAACCTCACCTTCAATTCCTGGTCAGTACCTGCAGGTAATTGGCATACTTTTATCAATAGCAGTTTTCTCTACTTGCAAGCTGCACCTTACAACAAAAGTGTGTCTGTCTCAACTGACTTGTTTTACCTTTGGGTTTTAACAAACACATGCTTCATATAAACCCACTGAAATCTATCAGACCTTATTAATGACTTACTTGATCTTGTCTGTTGATTTTGATGGTTCTACTCTAAGCATACTCTCTTAGTCATGAATATCTTTGATTCCAGTAGATCTACTTTATGTATAACTAAAGCTTGCTCCAGTCCAAAGTTGTGCATTTCCCCAAATCAGTTCTTGCATATCCTAGGCTAGATCCTGATTTAGTCATTCTTAGTCATGCAGGTCTACTCTAAACATAACTAAATCTGGATCCAACCCTAGGAATTGTATTGGCTGCCACTTTCAAAGCCAGGAGAAACTGAAATCTCATCACACATTTTATCAGCATTGGCTAGATGCAGGAGATGACATATATTGGTCAAACTATATCATTTGGTTAAGGTCTGAGAGACAGTGTGAAGCAGTGGTTAAAGTTCAGGACTAGGATGCAGGTGGTCTGGGTTCTAGTCCCTACTCGACCATGGAGCTCACTGGTGACTTCAGGCTATTGACAGATTCTCAGTCCAGCCTAGCTCACAGGGTTGTTGTGAGGATAAGTTTGGGAGGATGAGACTTATGTAAGCCACTGGAAGAAAGGTGGGGTATAAATATAATAAACAAATAAAGGTCAAGTCCCTACTATATCTAAGGGAAGTAAGCCAAGGCATGCTGAAGGTGCCATGTGGATTGCTGGGGGTAAGGAGGCAGGATCCTATTCCAGGATGGCTTGTTCTCCCAACAGGAACACTCTTTTTGGAAGCATTGGAGCCAAAATATTTCATTGTGAGTTCAGCTTCTGCTAAATAGTAAATATGCAACCTCCAGAAAGCAAATTGAATTCATGCAGTAATTTCAATTAAAGCTATTGCTGGACTTTTCTTTTTAGTATAGCTAAAGAGAGAAAAAGAAA